AATTTGTACCCCCAATTTGTATGTGAATTTGTAGAGAAAGAAAGAATTTACAATTTAAACGCATTTTATGCTACTCCAGATTTTTTGTAAAAAATATCGTTAAAAAGGCATTTGTCATATTAAAAAACAAACAGTATTAAATACAATAAAATTCATTGTCACAAAAATTCAATCTAAAAACTGTATTTATTGATCAATATTTAACATATATTGTCTTGATATCTCTTCTTAAGATAATTATTTATCTTAAAGATAATTTCAAACAGTATGTTATTAACTAAACAATCTAAACAATCTATATCCTAATATATATATGGTTTTAATAGAGGACCGAGTTGACCTGTCCCGAGTTGGTATAGGGCCGAGTTTACCTGTAAATTCAATAATGTAAACAATCCTTGACCTAATTTCGTTTGTCTAACAAATTAACATCTGCAAACACAAAACGATTATGAACAAAGAAATAAAAGCATTTCCACAAACCTTTGCGATGTTATTCATCAGCAAATCTATGTCTTGGATGGAGAAATCTGAAAAACACGAACGTTATTCTGTCGATGGTCCGAACAATGGCGGGTGTGCCCACAGGCGCTAGTCACATAATCAAATATTTTTCAAAATCGGCCTATATATGTATATAAAGATATATCTTTATATACATATATAGGCCGATTTTGAAAAATATTTGATTATGTGACTAGCGCCTGTGGGTGTGCCCATCTTATTAGTCAAAACCAAGTTTGCATCCGTTAATTCCAGAATACTTTTGAAAGACTTGTATTGTAATCTTGTTTTTTATTATTTATATAATAATATTTTTGTTTCAAACGCTTTGATTCTATGATAGTTTGCGAACCATTTTTTGCGAAAATAGTACGCCTTTTTAAGGCCACATATTGTATCCATTGTTTCCTCTTGAGTTATCGACGTAAAAAAAATCAGCGGTGGCATAAAATGCTATTCAATAAATTGCTAAATATATACAATAAATACTTTCATTTCCCTTCGGTTGACTTATATGTGAACTTTTCAGCATCTCTGCTACAAAATTACACCTTATTTATATTCAATTTATTGTACATAGGTACATGGACACAAACTTTTCTTTGGCCTAATGCGTAATAATACTGATGTTTTTTTTTCGTACACGTTTAAGATTATGTTCCATTGATGTAAGCTAACATTGAATATCATCATTTCAAGTTTTTTTGAACATCAGCTTTTTCTTCAAGTCATCCACGTTTGAAAGTATACATATAGTTCTGCTGCACTACTTTCTTGGTCGCATTAACTACTTATTTTCTATTGAGCTTAAACAGAATTCAATTAGGTGTTGTTCGTTCTTTTTCAATATAGGCAGACCGATACTATAGAAAGGAAATTTTTTTTTGAAAAAATTTCCTTCCAATAAATCACTTCTACCTACAGCTTTCCGGTTGCTCCAAGTAAGAACTACAGAGAATTTTAAACACAGTATTAACTGATAGGTCGCAACATCTGGAATTATTGGCGTCCGCGCCGAAGCGCGGCGCTCTTATGGAATGAGATCAGATTTTGTGAAAGGGCGACAGCAACTTCTCGAGCCTTTTAGTCGGTCATAATAAAAGCCGAAAATTCCGATCGGTATGAGGGTGCTTGATTATTAAATAAGAATGAAATGTCGCGATATGTTACAATGAATTTTCGCAATGCAAACATTTACAAATGAAATAACCTTTTCCGTCAATAAATCGCGCTCTTCGAGGTTTTTTATTTATCATTTTGTAGTACACAGTCGGTTATCATGGTATGTTATTGTTGTACATGTATCCTAGAATGATCAGTTGATGACCTAAATATTCCAAAAACATATTTATAGATATATCTTTTTATCACTCCTATCGGTAAATGCCGGTCTCTCCCGGTCTATTTTGACCAGGATTTACTAGTGACCGGCGAATAGTACCACACGTTTATTGTCCGGTCTCTCCCGGTTTTGGAGTAGATGTTTGATATCGTTACAATTAGAAAAAAAGCAACAATAGCATGTTTCATTTTATCTATATGAGATAAAAACAATAAATATGTACACGGATTTATATGTAATATAAATCCGTGATATGTACAATAATTGAGAAAAAGGTACATTTTTTATGGTATTAAAATGACATTATCAACTTTGAAACATTTTATTTAATTATTTAATTTGTTATTCGTGTTTAGTAAAGATGCCGAGGAATTATTCAAAGTTACAAATTAGATTTTATGAATTATTCAATTGATCGATAATTTAAAAAATGATAAAGAAAAATACAATGTACATGTACATGGTTTAAGAATAAACAATATTATATAATGAAAGATAAACTAGAATTTACTGACTTTTTCCAGTTAAGCTTTGACTTATAATCGTCGGTCAATATGACAATTGAATTCTTAAAATTTATTTTACAATTTTAATAAAAAAGAGTAGTAAAAACTCAGTATTGAAATAGCACATAAAACACAAAAAAGAATAAAAGAAAACAATATTCATAAAATTTGTATTTTTTTTAATTAACATTAATAGATATTACAATTATTGTATAATAAACAATTATGCTCAACATGATCAACATGGTAATATAACCAGTGTCATATTTTTACTAACTTAAAGTGTGAACAGATACCTTAAGGGGGTCTTCGCTAATAGCGATAACATAATAAGGGACAAATGTGTGGTACGTGTTGATCATGCGTTACACATATGGATTATAAATGATTGCATACATGTATATCCGTTGCTATTAATAACCACGATCATAAAGAAATAACAAGTAATATTCTAATCTCTAGCATGCCAATCAAAGTTCATAATGAACAATGTCTTTCGTCCGCTCATTCATAAGTGGTATACATTTCTGGTAGTTTATAAGAATATCTTGTCATCATTTGTGTACTAGTTCATCTTCACTTGCTGCATTTCTTGCTTGGACGCCCTTTGATGCTTTGCATCAATGCTTTTCTTGTATATACATTTGTAACAAGTTTAATCAGGAGATCACTAAATGAATCAAGGAATTTTTAACTGGTCATTTTTTAAGATGAAAAAAAATTACCTATTTACGAACATGCATGCTAGGAGATTATAAAGTGTTACACTTTCTGCGTCAGAATAACAATTGACTATACAATTACACAACTTTATACGATACAGATATAAATGTTATAAAGGGGTTCCCATAAGTATTTTCCACTAAAATTTATTACTCTACAACACTGAAATCGGCTGTCTTTACACTATTCTAAAAATAGACGTCGCGTGTGTTGACTTTCGGACAAGCGATTTATAGCGAGTACACAATTAACCAGCGAATATTTACTTTGTTGTACACGCAATATTTTAAGAAATTTTACGGAATAATTTTATTAAGGAGAAAACAAGCTGGAAATAGTGTGAAAAGGAAAGGGATAACAAAACACTGTGTTTACGGTACTTGTAGAAGTGACCGAGATACCCTGAGAAAATGCAATTAATTGAATTGGATTATAAATGTGAAGAACGCCAGTTTTGTTTTTGCAAAACATTTATAATACATGCGGCAGTGTTATGGAAAGATGAAAATATAACAGTTAACACCTTCTAAAATCTTACAAAAAGGAAATTAAGGAGATTATGTAATATTAATGTGTAACTTTTTGGATTCTCCCGCCAATCTGTCTAACACGTATAAAGTGAATATTGGAACGTCTTCGGCTATTAGACTGACGGAAAGGGCCGAAAAGTTGCGATTGTGACTTGTATTTTATAATTAGTATTTCCTCACCTCAAATTGGTTTTGGCTTACCAGAAAAGCCTTTGACTCTGTCTCAATCAATTGAGAGTTCGCAGCACTTTGAAATCAGTTTTGATGGAAAAATCAACGCAAAATAGTGATGTTTGGCAATTTTGAGATGACCCCTCGTTGCCATGGTAACAAGAAAGTTAAGGTTGAGTATGCCGTTACAAAGGCTATGTCCAGTCAACATTTGTGCCAAGTTTGAACAATATTGAAGCCTATAGCTATTTGAACTTGTAGCAGGATGCTTTTCAATGAAAACAGCCATTTATGAAGTAATATGTTAAAGGAACTCCACTGAGGTGTAAAGGCATAAAAACATAAAATTTGAAAATCTTACAAATATCAAGTATAACATTTACAATGAAAAACTCTGCAAGGATAAAAAAGAAACATACTCGATTAAAATTTTTTATCGATTTTATATGCGATTATTAGCCGAATTTTGAGAGAAAAGCGTCGCAACGCTTTTCATGTCTCGGTTATTTTTCGCAATAAAAAATATTGTTCTGGTAAAGCAGGATGTGGGAATGAGCAGAAGTTAATAATTGGCACATTAATCTCGGTATAAAATATTGTAAGTCCCGTCGTGTCAAAAAAAAAAAACACAAAACACCTCAGTGGAGTCCCTTTAATCACATAATTGAACTGCCCTGATAGGAAAGGAGATGTGACCTTTACAAATGCGTAGTAGTGTATTCTTTTTTGGTTAAAAGCACATTATGTCTCAGAAACTTATAATTATTTCCTTCTATAAAAAGGGCAAATAATAGTTTTATAATGATAAGGTAATGGTTTAAAAAGCATGTTAGATGCATATAACCTTACAGTATCGGTCATAAAAGTAGCAAAATGTAAAAAAAAACAATATTAAAAGTAGTATTTTGACCTCCATACAAGAATACTAAATCGCTGCAACTGTACTTATTGCCAAAAAGCAACAGAAGAAAAAGATGGCTTAGGTTATTGGCCGATGAGTAACTTTTTTGAAAAATTAAACTGAATATCAAAAATAAAACGCTTTTGAAAATTTAAAGCATTTCTGAGACATGATGGGCCTTTAAGTGCCACATTTTCATATATTCGACCTGGTGCCCTACCAAGGCTTAAACGAAGACACAATACATAGAAGTTGAAAACATCACACCTTAAATTTATCGTATTCTTAATCAATGACGAAGTACACGTGTAGTGTTATTTCAGGGTGTCGGCGTGCCTCTCTCTTCCGGTGCAAGTCGGAGCGGTGTATATCAGCCGCCTATAAATGTGACGGCGACAACGACTGTATGGACAACAGTGACGAGGAAAACTGCCCACCAGGTATTCAATAAACGTATATACGTACTATCTGGTTAAAAGGAACGCCAAGTAGTCAGTATTTTAGTCTTTGCCCTAAGTAAGGTTTTAGTCTTTGCCCTAAGTAAGTTTTTTAGTCTTTGCCCTACTTTTTCGTCCATTGAGAAGTACTGAACTGTCTTTAATAGGATTTATTTTAAAACCCTTCAGTTAAACGCCACATCTATCTGGGCTGTCGTAAGTCATGGTTAAGTGCATATCGGGATATTGGAAGGTATAGAACAACAAAATGTTTGTTAAGACATTAATATTAGTACCAAACCACATGGCATGATTTTTATGGATATTATAAGTTATACAAGATGCAGACGGGATATACGGAAAGTATGGCCTGAATGAGATGTATATTTATTATTTATTATTATTTAATATTCATGTCAAACATGCTATATTCTCTCGTGATCCAATCAGTACATGTATAATGAATTTATAATAACGCAATTTTTTAATGATAACAAGTTCAGAAAACACAGCAACTTTAGACTGTTTTCAAAAAAAAAAGCGCGGGAAAAGACACTACAAGTTTTTTAGTCATTTTTTATTTTTTTAAAGTAATTTCATTTAACTCGAGAAATGTAACATTAAGAACAAAACACAATAAAAAATAACTTTTTAATGTAGAAATACTTTTTGTGCTTGTAAATTCATGGTATATAGGCATTGTATACAGTGTTTATTTGAGAAATTTATTTGCATTCTTGTAATCCTTCATGCTGTTTTACTACAATGTCGTAGGCTTATAATTTATGCATGCATAATTATATATAGAAAAGATGCATTTTTCAGTAAAAGAATGTCCTGCCGACAAATTCCGATGTAACAACGGGAAATGTCTCGGTTACCATTGGAAATGTGACGGCGACGACGATTGTGGGGATATGTCCGACGAATCACAGTGCCGTAAGTAAAAAAATCGTCTTAAAATATTTTCGTTTCACGTATTTGTAAAAACATCAAGTTTCGTCTATTTCACTTGATCTTCTATTTCACTTGTTATTACTTGTTCAAGTGTTATTACTACAAGCGATATTACTATTTCACGTGTTATTTCTAGTTAAAATGATTTTACTTATTACTATAACACATGCTATTACGATTACTATTTCGCGTGTTAGAATAAGTTCAAATGATATTACTATTTCATATTTTATTACCATTACACGTGTTATTGCGAGTATAAATATTATTATTATCATTATTATTATTATCACATGCTATTAAGATAACTTTTTCACGTGTTAATATTGAACAAGTATCATAACCATTAAATATGTCATTACGATTACTATATCACGTGTTATTATTAGTTCAAGTGTAATTACTATATTACCGCACGTGCTATTACTATTACACATGTGATTACAATTACAGCCAATAAACAGTGCAAGCCACAAGAGTTTCAGTGCAACAATACTTTGTGTATACATATACGGCTGAAATGTAACTCGGAGAACGATTGTGCCGACGGATCGGATGAAGGGGATTTTTGTGGTAAGAATACTTTTCACTCCGCGTCACTGTGATAATTCAAAATTTATACAATATATATAATAATGCCTCTGTAACGAGTACAACTGTAACAATAACCTTAGGCTTGTGTTAAGAACTTGCCCTAATTCTGGTAAGAAAATAAATATAAAATTATAAATATAATAGTTATAATGCTAGAGTCATTTTCTGTTTAGCGTCAAATTTCGTATTTTCGTTTTAACATTTCGTATTTTTTACATGTACAGATTTATGTTTGCGTGTAATATTAGATAAATGAGCCTTTTGTAGTGATTTATAACATGTACCCGACGTCACGACATCACATTATATGATAAACCGTTATTTTTGAGAATGATATAAAACTGATTAACGATAAAAAGATAAAAAACATTTTGATAATTGCCTTCAAAAGGCCTCTAAACATTTCTTTTAATGTAAGGTATCTATAAGTGTTTAACATGTTCAGTGTATGACAGTCTTTAAGTAATTTTCATGTTATCTGTTAACATTTTTCATATGATTTGTAACTCTTTCATTTTATAATTAATTGACAGTCATGTATTTATAATGTTATGTCTGCATGTTTTTGTGTTTTTATCATGCTAAGTGTGAGATTTTAAATTTATTCTCGTATGTTAAAGAACATCACGAGTGTCAGCCTGGTCACTTCCAATGTGCGGACAAACGGTGCATAGCAGAGAGACTAAAATGCGATGGCGAAGAGGACTGTTACACCGGCGAGGATGAAAACAATTGTCCGCCATTAAAATGTCCAGGTATTTCCTTGTAATAAATAAAATTTCTTTTTTTTCCTTTATTTGTTTTAAATGAAATTTTGATTATTTGCGAACAAAGTCATTTACTCAGTCAATAAGTGGTTAGATATATTCCATATCAACTGCTTTATATCATGATAAAAATGTAGCTTTTTGCATAATAATGATTAATATGTAACACAGGGGATTCTGTCATTTTTTTCCTTTCCCACTATATATATAATATAACAAGGGATACAACTCAAAATTGCTCAATTCATGAAAAAGTAAATACAACGCAGTATAAAACAGATTTTTTTCTTCTGATTGTTGGACATTGATGAAAGAATCGATAATTTAAAAAAAAAATGACTCACTTTGTTACATGGACAAGATATTATTAAAAATAACCTATCATGTTTCATTTTTACACACGTTCGTAAAATTTTGGTTTGTAAAATTACACGTGTAAAACGACATCTTGTGCAAACGTATGCTCATATAAGAAAGTTTAATCATGTAATCGGTTAAATATCAATTATCCACCACCATCAATTATGCAATCATTAACTTCTGGTACAAAATATTGTAACAATTTATGTTTGTTTTGATAATTTCTATCCTCGGCTTCCATTTTGATGTTGCCCGTATGTTCCAATGCGTAAATCCAACTTCTGTTAGTAACTGTCAATTTCATTGGCTAATGAATAATAATAATCCGGATAATAACGGCATATAGCCGCGACGAATAGCGATTTTTTCATCAGCCAATGAAAATACTCGGAACATAAACACACCTGCAAAATGGACGACAACTTGACAGCCAATGCAAATATTGAAATGTTAGCTATTTCCTGCAATGTTACAGGTTTTAATGAAGTGTTTGTAATAGAACTTGGGTAATGACTCGTTCATATATTAACTTCTACAATAACTTTGATGGAATAGAGGATATTTTATACAGTTTACACGTGTGAATGCATTTAACGAACCCGTGCTGGTAGTGCGAGGCCACGACTTGTATCCATTGTTTATATATTATATATATAGATTTAATAAAATAATGACAGATTTCCCTGTGATATGTAATATGCAAGAAAATAGATCAAACACCGGATGCCGATACAGACCGGAATATCTAGCTATCGGGTAATTGTTAAGCGGAAACTCGGCAAAGCCTCGTTACTGCCGTAAACAGTTACCCTCGAGCTAGATATTCCGGTCTGTACCGACAGCAGATGTAAGATCCTTATAGACTTTCTTAACCCACTGGAGTCCGCTTCCTAGAATAACCAGAACGTGTGCTATATGAAGAAACATGGTCCTAAACCAAGATGGAAACGAACTCACGATATCTCGGTTGAAAGGCAACTAACTGCCTTTATTACAAGGCCACGATTAACTAGCTTCATGAAGAAAATGATAATGTATGTATTTATACAGCAAGATTAAAATAATGCACACCGGTTTTATAATTTCAGCTGATTCATGGAGATGTGGGACCGTTCGTCAGTGCGTACCGATTCAATATAGATGCGACGGGGCTTTGGACTGTAGGGACAACTCGGACGAAGAGAACTGCAGTATGTTTTTATGATAAGTCTTTTCATTATATTTATATATAACAGGTGCCTTCGGTTTTGTTCAGAATTATATAACGCAATTTACAGAAAGTATTTATTGGCAAGACTGGTGTGCTATGGTACTTGAAATACAAATTTACCGGCGTCATACACCGGTTTAGCAGGTATTTCTTCCCTTGACCACGCTTCAAATAATTTGTCTCCCTTTTACGGGTGACCGATTTACGTAATGCAGAGTTTGTACTATGGTGGGGTAAATAGGGAGAAATGCTACCGTACAAAAACAGAAACATTTTATAACTTTCAAGTATTTTGTCTACATATACTTTCTCCATGCATAGCTTCAAGACCACAAGACGGTTGTTTCAAACATGAGTTAAAGTGCAGGACCGGCGGATGTATTCCTAGTCAATGGAAGTGTGACGGTCAACCAGACTGCTCCGACTCTACCGACGAGATTGGTTGTGGTAAGTGAAAAAACATCATATCATAGCATGACTCCATCCGGTGTTATACATTTTAGTATAATCTGGGTTCAACTTTATGTTTCCTCCATGTTTGCACAACATGTAGACTGATAAAAATGTTTATTCAGATCCTTTTTGTGCATTAATATTTCCTTCACAACTCGTTCATACCGCCATATTTCGAGTATGTAAAATTCAATGTGAATGATTTGTTGCGAACACAAGCACCTGTTACTTCCGATTACTTTTTGATTTATTGCAAGCTTACTTCCGTTTACTTTTTGATTTATTGCAGGCCAACTACCGATTACCGTTTGATTTATTTCAAGCTCACTTCTGGTTACTGTTTGATTCATTGCAAGCTTACTTCCGAGTACTGTTTGATTTATAGCAAGATCACTTCCGCTTACTGTTTGATTTATTGGAAGTTTAATTCATGTTACTGTTTAAGCTACCGTTTTCTCTTTGATTTATTGTAAGCTTACTTCCGATAACTATTTGATTTATCGCAAGCTCTACTTCCGAGAACTAGTTGAATTATAGCAAGCCCACTTCCGATTAATATTTGATTTATTGCAAGCTCACTTCCGAGTACTATTTGAATTATAGCAAGCTCACTTCCGCTTACTATTTGATTTATTGCAAGCTTACTTCCGGTTACTGTTCTAACTTCCGTTTCCTCTTTGATTTATTGCTAGCATACTTCTGAATACTTTATTGCTAGCATACTTCTGAATACTGTTTGATATATTGCGAGCTCACTTCCAATTACTATTTGATTTATTGCAAGCACACTTCCGAGTACTATTTGAATTATAGCAAGCTCACTTCCGCTTACTATTTGATTTATTGCAAGGTAACTTCAGATTACTGTTTAATTTATTGCAAGCTCACTTCCGTCTAGCTACTGTTTGATGGGCATTTTTATTTTCAGATAAGATAACATGCTCCGACAGTGAGTTCAAGTGTAAGAACGGGAAATGTATTTCGTCAGCACTCATTTGTAACACCCAGGATGATTGTGGTGATAAAAGCGACGAGGATCAGAGTGAAACTTGTGGTAAGCGTTCTTAATCATGTATGATGATGTGCATGAGTTTCACGTGTTGACACAGTTGTAAATTTAATTGAAACAGACTTATATGTAGAAATAATAATTAAAGTAAAATTGTTACTGTGCTGCGAACATTTAACATGCAATGTTTTGTTTAAAAAAATTAAGTATACAATACTGGTATAGATATATCAAAGACACGTTTTCAATGAAACGAATGCCACATTTGCTCACAATTGGTCTATAATGCAAGGTATGTAATACAATGAATAACTATACTTTGATAATATTAAGTAATAGATACAACAACAAAGCACGGAAGAAGTATACATGGAAGTTGTTGATACAAGATCCGATATTATATATATATTTTTTTATAGCAGATAATAAAATGTTCTAGAACAAAATAGTATTATTTATCATATAAAGGGGCATTCTATTATTCTTTTCAAGTGGCATTTTTTGAGAAAATCCAAATGATACATTTCTATTGTTTTCTATAAAAGAATTGAATATTGATGGAAAGTGTATATTATAGACCTATACACAATAAAGATTGGGGTATCAAATGAAAGTATAAATTCTATAAAAAAAAACAGCAAATATTGTCTACACATACATGACATAGTAATTTTTTTCAGCCCCACCTCCGTTTGCGTGTCCTCTGGGTGAATGGGAATGCCCGGGACCAAAAGTAAAGTGTATTAACAGCTCCCTGGTATGTGATGGTAAAGAAGATTGCCCAGGTGGTCTAGATGAAGATATCACGTGCGGTAAGTGTCCCAGAATTATCTTAATTAGCCCGGTGTCATATATTTGCGTGTTACCTTCTTTAAATTAAAGCAGCACGCCTCCAGATTCATTTTGATTTTCATGATACTTTTGAAAATGTATTTTAAAAGTAAACTGTTGTGAAATAGCCAATATGAAGCAATTTACACATTATCAATGGCTCTTACAACCCAGGTATATTACCACAATGAGGTCAAAATATTCGAAAATAGCCTTTACTGCGTTAGTTACGCAATAGAAATATGGTAATAAATATAATTAATCACTCATTATCATACATAACATATAAATTGTTACTTAAATTATGAGTGATCTTATTTTTCCTAAAATCTTACTATATTTTCCTCAAGTTTGATTTGATTGTAATTTTTTTTTTGCTCATCTGGAGGCATGCAGCTTTAATATAAATATTTATTGTCTTCTTTTTCTTCGAAACATTCTTTATAAAACCATCTGAAAAATTAACTTAAATGGAATAGTAATGAATACTAGTTAAAAACAATATTTTATTTTGCAATAGAAACTGTTTGGAGACATCTCTCAATATCATAAAATGATCGTGACACAGATTTTTTTCTTTTTTTCTACTTTAGGTAACAATGTTCTGACAAATTTATTCATTTAAATTATTAATCCGATTTGGTTTTTATCTGTATTTTTGTATATGCTTACTGTATACATGCATATTTATTTCAAATTGAAATAAATATTGTTTAAACTAAATAAAGAAATAAAGATATTTATTAACGTCAGTCAGCTCTAAATATAATGCGCATTTACTCTAAGCAGTAATAAATTGTTTCCGAAAAAAAATGAAAAAAGTACTATTAGATCTAATTGTTATATATTAATGAAAATGAAATTGAAATCCATCCAAAATGAACAACAACACGCAACAACTTTACTGTAAGCTTATCGTTTCACGTTCCATATTTAGGTTTTATATTGTTTGACTTATTTCTTAAGTTATGCGCCTAAATGGACACCATATTTTTCTTTTTTTTTCTTCTTGACTTCCCGCGGTATCATAGTGCTCTCCCTTTGATAACACGATCGTACTTACATAGATGATTCCAATTTAAATCACTGACTTTTTTTTGTAATAAATGTGTATTTTAAAGTTTAAATGCAACAGTTGAACACAGTTTGACATGATAATAAATGTACGATACGTGTACAATATTTTTATTTTCCATAATCTGCTGAAAATAGTAAGAACAACGGTACCATGGGGGACCATCCTATGTATGTTCGCAAATGGATAATTTTATATAAAATTATGCATATACTGTATCTATATATGAAAAAAAGAACTATGGTGGCATATTTCTGCCACCAGATAACCTGATAACAAACTAGTTAATTAAGAGGTTAACTAGTTACGTAACTAGTTAACCTGATAATTAACTAGTTAATTAAGAGGTTAACTAGTTACGTAACTAGTTAATTTTTTCAATAAAGAAAAGATCATAATGGGAAATAAATGCATGTTAGTGCCTGCAACTGCCATCCTTTTATTATATCATCATCTTAAAATTAAGAGGTTAACTAGTTACGTAACTAGTTAACCTCTTAATTAACTAGTTAATTATCAGGTTAACTAGTTACGCAAATACCTAACTAGTAAAACCTGATAAATAACTAGTTAATTAAGAGGTTAACTAGTTACATAAAACGTAACTAGTTAACCTGATAAATAACTAGTTAGTTAAGAGGTTAACTAGTTACGCAAATACCTAACTAGTTAACCTGATAAATAACTAGTTAATTAAGAGGTTAACTAGTTACGTTTTAACGTAACTAGTTAACCACTTAACTAACTAGTTATTTATCAAGGTTAACTAGTTACGTAAACTAGTTAACCTGATAATTAACTAGTTAAGTATTAGGTTAACTAGTTAGGTATTTCGTAACTAGTTAACCTGATAATTAACTAGTTAATTAAGAGGTTAACTAGTTACATAAAAACGTAACTAGTTAACCTGATAAATATAACTAGATAGTTAAGAGGTTAACTAGTTTCGCAAATACCTAACTAGTTAACCTGATAAATAACTAGTTAATTAAAATGTTAACTAGTTACGTTTTTACGTAACTAGTTAACCTCTTAACTAACTAGTTATTTATCAGGTTAACTAGTTACGTAACTAGTTAACCTGATAATTAACTAGTTAAGTATTAGGTTAACTAGTTAGGTATTTTCGTAACTAGTTAACCTGATAGTTAACTAGTTAATTAAGAGGTTAACTAGTTAAGTATTTATTTAACTAGTTAACCTATTAATTAACTAGTTAATTATCAGGTTAACTAGTTACGTAACTAGTTCACCTCTTAATATTAAGCTGACAATAAGGGATGGCAGTTTGCAGGCACTAACATGCATTTTTTTCCCGTTATGATCTTTTCTTTATTGAAAAAATTAACTAGTTACGTAACTAGTTAACCCGATAATTAACTAGTTAATTAAGAGGTTAACTAGTTACGTAACTAGTTAACCTCTTAATTAACTAGTTAATTATCAGGTTATCTGGTGGCAGAAATATGCCACCATAAAGAACAGCTTACACATTAGAGATTTTTTAATAAATTAACAGTTATAATATCAATTTTTGATCGAAAATTGTAATTATATCCATGTTTTTTTATCATTTCAGCCAGATCGATTCGTTCTGTGGCTAATTTATGTCAGATATTCTTACATTTTATTTGTTTTTATTCTGCCGTATTTCTGCTTTTTAGATCTATTTCTTGACGTTTGTGTTTTAAGAGGTCTTTCTATTCATTATCACATTTTACAGTAACACATAATTGCCTTACCTCGTGACGTCAACAAGTTAAAATATATAGATCTTAACAGTACATAATATATTTTTTAGATCTGTCTGTGTACCAAAATAAAACAAATTTTATTCAATAAATTGATGTGTATAATTTGAATCCATTTACAAGATCTTGAACGGAATTCTATACAACTGAAATAAAATTAAAAGCCCGCAATATTACGCTTATTCTCACGCTACTGTACATTATTTACGCAGGCCTAAATAATCAACAACGCGTGACGGATGATTACTATGTACATTTATGAATAATAAGCAATATTCATTTAACATTTAAAGGACAAAGAAGCATGCCATGTGTTAAGATATTTTGCATATCATTCCAAAGTGGAGTCTCAAGTAGTGCCCACATGTATATTTTCATTCATATTTTATCTAAACCTCTCCGTCACGGTTCAAAATACGTTTATCGATATTTGAATATTCATGAGTCATGACCTGACATGCATGCTTTAAAATCTAAAAATAGAACATGGATATTTATGTAGCGTACCGTCGGATGAATTCAAATTGTTTTTGAAATTTGTAGTAGTTTGTTATCAAAAATATTGAAATGGATATATTAAATGAGTTGAAACGTGGTTAAAAATGGTAAATTTAAATAAATACTTGCTATTATGTATGCTATTATGTATAGTTTGAAACATAAATCGGTATAGTAGCAAGTGCCTCGGTAGCGCAGTAGGCAGCGCGTCAGTCTCATAATCACATTAAACAAGAGCGATCTGAAGGTCGTGAGTTCGATCCTCACCCGGGGCACAATACTTTTTTATTTTTTTCCTCATTTTTTTTTTCATCATTTTTGCATCCGTTTCGGTATTTCTTTTCTTTACATAAAAATCTATTGCTTTTCATAATTAAACTGATTTCATTTTTTTTCTTCTCAATATTTCATTGCACTTGTCTGCTTATTTTAATTTCATGTACATTGTATTATCTTTGTTTATTTACTGTGTTTTTTACTGGATATTTACTCCTTATTTATTTTATTAATTTCATCACTTGTTTTATTTTGTATTAACCAGGTTTTCAACGAAAACTGGTTATTATAGTGCCGAAGTCGGCGGGCGGGCGTCAACTGTTGGTTTCCGCTCAATAACTTTAGTTTGCTTTGGCCTATTCGCATCAAACTTGGTGTGTAGGTAGCTTATATCAAGAGGCAGCTTGTTTTATTTTTATTTTATTTTATTTGCCGACATAGAGAGGAACGAATGCGCGATAGGTAACGCCGGGATTATTTTGGGGTTTACGCCCCCACAAGGGTCTTCAGGTGTGTATGTTAAGGTCGGCAAATTGAAATGGTACAAGTATTGTTGGAAAATTTCATGAAAAAAAAAACAAAAATTTTTTCGCAATATTCCCCAGGGGCTATATTCAAAAACCCATGGGAAACGTAATTTCTATTTTGTTCCACTGACAAAAAACTTTTATTATTTTGAATAAAAAAATTTAAAATTTGAATAATTTTACTTAAAAAAGTTAAAAAAGGGAAAATTTGAAAATATAAAAGATACGCATATTTTCGCGGTACCATGGATTATAAAAAACGCCCCCGATAACCCCAATGAGATTTGACGTAAAAACCGTATTTTATTATTTAAATTTGCAAATTAGCCCCCAAAGCGCTATGCAAAAAAACACGCCCTAATTTTTTTCAACTTATTTGATTTCATCGTTTTTTTAATGTAGTGCGAAGCTGTTGTGTTTTCGAGTATGATATGATATTATTATGTGATTATATGGTGTTTTTGAAAACTTCATTGATTGTTGTAATTATGGATTTTTGCGGTTGGCTTTTACCCATTAATTATTTTTCAGATAAAAATGAATTAATGACCGACGTTGCTTCAAAGGTTTTCAAACTAAAGGGTTCTTACCGTTGCACGTGCGAGAAGGGATATGAGAAAATTTCTACAGGTTGCCAGGCAACGGGTATGTTCACATTTTTTGTTTACCATTCACCGTGCATGTATTTTTATAACCGTGATTGTAAACTACTTATGTGATGGAGATATCCTGCGAAACTTCCGGAAATTTGACACCAGACTTATGCTCGGTGTATTAAAATATTGTAATGGGGTCTTCGTTTTAGGTGTAACTTCCAGAAAATAAATATTTGCCGGTTTTGAAAAAGTAATATCCCTTTCACTTCTTTAATGTTTTTTAAAGAGCCAAAAGCAGTTTTTGTGGGGGGGGGGGGGGGTGGGGGCAATAAAAAACTATGTCTTCCGTCTTACGTTTTTCCCGGTGTTTTTGTTAAGGAACTCAGACAATGAAACAATGTTTCCTCGTATCACACATTCCTACGGTGTTTCGTTAGGGCCATACATTTTGAATTTTCCGTCTAGTTACTGCGAAGTGCGACGCGAAATGAATCGTCTATTTGGCGCTTTTGTGTTTTTACAACTTAGCATTTATCTTTATATCGACTTTAAAGTAGGTTTTATTAGCAGATCGAAAAAGCGAAAGATAGATGACCCGCACGGAACACCGTGCATTTCAATATTTTTGTGGGGATTTATTTGGACTTGTACACAACTTATCAGAAATCACATGGTTTTCCAGTCTGTTTATACTCGTCCAAATATATTCACATATTTTACAGATAATTTTGTTTATTTGGTTCTGACTGAGCGCACCATCTTCTAATGATTGTGTATCAAATTACGGTGCTTTTCGCCTTTTACTAAGTATTTTCTCTTCACTAAGCGTAATGTCAAACGACAGCCAGATCCGTTTCGTAAGACGCTTGCATTGCTCTCAAAAGTGGGTATTGGGATACTTTAGTCGTTTACGGCTTACAAGATGAAAAAAAAAACATACGCTTTCTTATCAACTGTCCAATATAGGCGCTACACCGTCCAATATGAAAATATGATTAAATAATAATTATTTTCACCCCCACTTGATACAAATTTAAAAAGCAGCGATGGGGTGTTTGTAATAAGTGATGTAGAATATGAAGTTGTTTGGTAAAACATTTTTCAGGCGAGGACGCCAAAGTTGTTGTTACAACAAAACACGATATTTCATTTGGTAGTCATGAACTTAGTTTGAATGACTGGACGTCAATTCGGTAAAGAACACCGCCTCGCTCGCTGGAATAGATGTGTATATGAAAAATCGACAACTTTTTTTCTCCCGACTCACGGACCATGAAAATTTACAGAATGGCTGTGGATGGAAAGGAATCTTACTGAGGCATATTCAATTTCTTTCTATATTTAGTGTAGATCCTGTAACTAAAAAAAATATGATTTTATATCATAATTAATGATGACTCAAATGAAGAGTTATATCAATATTTCCAAAAAGCATTATTTGTAAATAGATATTACCGAGTAAATATGGGAGGTAATTAGAAATTTATTTTCGGTAAAAGTCTAAGGCAAACTTTTCAATAAGAAATGAATGCATATATTTTAATGATTACATATAATGCACATTTGCAGTACATATTTAACATATTTGGTTGTTTGGAAATTGATTAAGAAGAATACTTATATACATATATAAAATTTCTCTGACAGTGTTGGCAACATAACATACAGGATCTTTAATGAATAAAAACCTCGACAGGTAAATTGAGAAGAAAAGATTTACAAAAAAACTTTCAGGCTGTAAGCGTAAAGTAACTGTTCTGAATTTAAAATCATATAATAAAAATAAACTTTGACATATTTCCCACAACTAACAGGGCAAAGTTGTATTCGCTTTCTATAAGATAGACCATTCGTCAAGCTAAAAAGAACTATTTTTTTGTTCTTCGCTATTAATGGCGACATATGGCCTCGAGTATACTGAAATTAAATTCATCTATTTATTTTTTCACTCAGATTATTTCCTCTGGCATCAACGTTGTCGAGGACATAGCAGTTGATTGGATAGCGGGAAATCTATACTGGAATGACTTTACATTAGAAACTGTAGAAGTGGCCAGACTTGACGGTTCCAGTCGAATGGTCCTCTTCAGCGAAAATGTTACCCGACCGAGAGGGATCGAGATCGATCCGCGGAAAGAGTGAGGGCAGATTATTTTTATTTGGATTACAGGCTGTCAACCAATTCCTATATTCCTATAAAACTCCTAAATTTTGGGTCGGAATCCTATATTTTAAAAAGCCTCCTATTTTTCCTATATTCTCCTATATTTTGAATATTTTTCCTATATTTTTTTAATAATATATTGCCGAGGAATTCAAAGAGATTAAAATTTTGGTACTGCTTTCGTCCTTTTGTATTTTACAGGTAAGAGAAATGTGTATGCCTGCCATCAGACATCACATTACTATGCTCAAGGCTGCTGTGCTCCCACATAGCAAAATCTGCATGGTCACCATGAAAAGGCAGTGCATCAACTTTATTTCAGGTGACCATTCAGATGATGGTCATGCATTGCTGTAACTTTCTGCCGGGATGCTGATGCTGTGGTTCAAAGCTAATGCAGGCTGTTCGCTGTGTCCCTAAAATTCTTAAAAAAATCCTAATTTTTTCAGTTTGGCTAAAATTCCTAAAAAAGTGAAAAATTCAAAGGGAGTTCCTAAAGATGTCCTATTTTTTCACTGAAATTCCTCATTTTTTTTATCTTTTGTTATAAACATACTTATAACTTGTAACCCTGTCAAAATAATCACGGACATAACTAAGTTGACCATGTTTTGAACATGGTCAAAAATGATTTGGCCATGTTTTGCCAACGTCAAAATTGATGACTTTGATCTGGTTTCGTTTTAACTAAAAGTTATTTTGACTATGTCAGAAACATTGCTATTTCATAATCAAAGCGGTTGTTGATAATCATGTTGACAGCAAAAATAACTACCATATCATGGTCCTGAAACTCAAATCATAACCATAAGAGTCCACTTATTCTGAAATATTTTGACACTTTTTTGCCAACTCCAGATATCTTGAATTTTATGTTTGTTCATTTTATCCAAATTTCTGAAGTGGTCCATTTATTTCATATCATATTTAAAAATGATCATTATGAAGCTTTTGTAACACAATCTTAATTAAAAACATGTATAAATAGTTGTCAAAAATTAATGTACAATTTGTTTACTCACAACTCTTTTATTTAAAGGGAGACACAAGCAAAATTTTCATTTCTTAGTTTTGAAATTTTCATTCATTATTCTGTAAATGTCCTCAAAATGAATACACTAAACAGTCAAAGGAACAAAACTTTTCTCCATATAAAGAATAAAATGGTGTTTTCCTAACTTGACCCGCGTGGGTCAGGTTAGAGCGCTAAAATTTCACAATAGTTGTCACCTCTGTACTCTGGAAACGTTAAAAAACATGTCAAATCAATTACTTAGACTTGTTTCAATCATACAATATTCCACAATATTTGTTATTGTAACTTCCAGGGTTTTGTTCAAATCGCATGAACTTGTTTTTAAAACTATTCGGTGATTCTGTTCGCGTCAAAATTTCGTTCAACATATATAGATATATTTAAAAACTTCAAACCCAAAATATATAGAATTTATACAGAAATTCATGTTGGGACTTTTTTAAAAAAAAAAAAAAAAAAAAAAAAAAAAGAAATGTCATTTTAGGGTGATTTGAGTACAGAAAATCATTTTATATTTTTGCCATTATTTTGCCTGAGTATCCCTTTAAATCTGCATAATATCAAAACAACATTGTAAAGTACTGAATGGGTTAACATAGACTTTGAAAAATTAATTCTTTCCCTCATACTTATTTATCCTTTTCGATGTTTTTGTAGGAGAAATTGCTTATTTTTTGCCACAAAGTTTTCAATTTCATTCAATTTTTTGTTCTTTCATTCATCTGGGTACAATTTAGAAAAAATGCAGACTCATATAATTAATCACACTCAAAAATAATTTGGCAGTTCAGTAATATAAAGCTCATTTCCAATTACAAATGTAACACACATTTTGCAATTATGTGATCTAGATAAACTGCAATTGAATGGTCTGTGTGATGAACTTTTTTGATGTGCAATTCTTTGTGTTGATTATAGATGCTTCCCATTTATTCAAATGACTGCACTAAGGCAAATGCCTTTTTACTTCCTACTTGCACAAAAAATTTCATTTGTCAATATTCAAAAGCTGCATTGTGCAAGAATTTCACTGTATAAGAATTTCTTTTAGACACTTGTGGTTATAACATTCCCAAAACATAGGTAAAACATGTTCTTTTTGACATGTTCAGCCAATTAAAAAAAAATATGGTTTGAACATGATTTGACTAAGACCATTTCCGCAGGGGAGGCAGTTGAACCAGTGAGTCCACACTGGTAGCACCTTTGCTCTAACTAAACTAGAGCATTATTTGTGAGTTACTTTTGTGTCAAAAAATGCAAAGATAAGCCCTCATCATGGTCCTTTGGGACCTTAGTTTATTTAGTTATAAAATTGCAAATTTTAGCCCTAAAATTTCTATTACGTACCCTAACATTCCTTATTTTAGCCCTAAAATTTCTGAATATTAACCTAAAATTCACCCTATTTTTTTATGTCGGAAGGTGCTGGACAGCCTGCTAATGTGTGTCCTTCACTTATACTGTAAGACATTTTATTGTAGAAACAGCAATGTGTAAAAGTAAGAATAATTTACATTTATATAAGCATTGGTAAGTTAAACAATTTAAGTTGAAAAACTCCTATTTTTTGCCTCTAAATGGTCCAAAAACTCCTATATTTCCTGCAAAAAATATTCCTATATCCTCCTTTATTTTGGATAAGACCTGGTTGACAGCCTGGGATTACGATCTTCTTATACTTCTTTACTTCATTTTCTTCATCTTCCTCTTTTACTTTTTTCTTTTTTTCTTTTCTTCTACTTCTTCTTTTCCTTATTTCCTCTCTCTCTTTCTCTCCTCCTTCTTCTTCTACGACGATATCATACCTGTATATAGCTCAGCGTTTAAAGTTTTAAGCATACGAGGCACCGACGGCAGCCATCCCGGAAGTATTTCTTATGATTATTTTTTAGCTCACCTGTCACTTTGTGACAGGGTGAGCTTTTGTGATCGCTTTTCGTCGGCGTCCGTCCGTCCGTAAACTTTTACTTTAAATGACATCTCCTCATAAAACCACTAAGCCAATTTCATCCAAACTTCACAGGAATGTTCCTTTGGTGGTCACCTTTAAAACTTGTTCAAAGAATTTAATTCCATGCAGAACTCCTGGTTGCCATGGCAACCGAAAGAAAAAACTTTAAATATCTTCTTTAAAAAACCCTAAGAGCTGGAGCTTAGATATTTGGCATGAAACATCTTCTAGTGAGTATCTACCAAGTTTTGTTCAAAATAAAATCCTTGGGGGTCAAAAATTGGCCCGCCCAGGGGGTTATTGATTTTCCCTATATGCATATAGTAAAAACTTAAAAAAATCTTCTTTTAAAGAACCCAAAGAGCTAGAGCTAAGATATTCAACATGAAACATCTTCTAATGAGTGTCTACCAAGTTTGTACAAATATAAGCCCTGGGGTCAAAATTGCCCCGCCCCAGGGGGGTCATTGATTTTTCCTTATATGCATATAGTTAAAAACTTAAAAAATCTTCTTTTAAAGAACTCAAAGAGCTAGAGCTAAGATTTTTAGCATAGAAACATGTTCTAATGGGTGTCTACCAAGTTTGTTCAAATAAAAGCCATGGGGTCAAAAATTGGCCCCTGCCCGGGGGTCATTGATTTTCCTTATATGTGTATAGCAAATACTTAAAAATCTTCTTTGAAAAAATCCAAATAGCTAGAGTTTAGAATATTAAGCATGAAACATGTTCTAGATAATGTCTACAAAAGTTTGTTCAAATAAAAGCCCTGGGTCAAAATTGGCCCCGCCCCTGGGGGTCATTGATTTTTCCTTATATGTGTTATTAGCAAAAACTTAAAAATCTTCTTTGAAAAACCCAAATAGCTAGAGTTTAGATATTAAGCATGAAACATCTTCTAGTAAGTGTCTACAAAGTTTGTTCAAATAAAAAAGCCATGGGTCAAAACTGGCCCCGCCCCAGGGGTGTCATTGTTTTTAACTATATGTGTATAGTAAAAACTTAAAATAACTTCTTTTAAAAAACCCAATGAGCTAGAGCTTAGATGTTTAGCATGAAACATCTTCTTTTGGGTGTCTACCAAGTTTTGTTCAAATATAAGCCCTCGGGTGAAAATTGACCCTGCTGGAGGGGGATGGGGGAGATCATTGTTTTTCATTATATGTGTGTAGTAAAAATTTAACAAACTTAACATTGTGAAACATCTTTAAATGAGTGTCTTTCAAGTTTGTTCAAATAAAAGCCCTGGGGTTTTAAACTGGCCCCGCTCCGGGGCCTTTATGCAGGTGAGCGACCTCAGGGCTATCATGGCCCTCTTGTTTCTTTCTAAACACATACACACAAAAATGCAATTCTTTTCTTTATTTTCAGCGCTCGTTACATATTCTGGTCGGACTGGGGACAGTATCCGAGGATCGAACGTGCTGGTATGGATCGGTTCAGGCCGCACCACCATCGTATCCACAAACCTGTACTGGCCCAACGGTCTCTCTATAGACTATCCGACACGGAGGTTATATTTCGCCGACGCCAAATTAAGATTCTATAGAATTCTGTAATTATGACGGATCAGGGCGTCGGAAAATCATACTCCGTTCAAACGTAAGTATTGTATAATTATATGTCATTGCGTTAACAAACGTTCTACTCGGTATAACAATGGAAAGGCCATTAAGTCAATACTCTTATACTGATAAACCGATTCTTTTTAATTAAAAATATAATACCCATTTTATGCAAGTAAAATCATTTGAATACAGAACAGAACATATTAGTCATGTTCATAACACAGAAACTTAAAGGTCGCTGTCCGTAACAAATTCGTTTTAGTTGAACCTATTGACCTAATGACCGGCAGTCGTAAATGCAAGCATACAGTAACACCCCGGAAACGGCTTAGGCAAACTTCAACATTTAAAAGTGAAAACGGTGAAATAAAAAGAACTATGTTCATGCAGAAGTGATCATGGAACATTCAATGCGACGTTGTTTTGCCACTTCATGAAAAGCAGCGTATTGTACGCAATTCAACTAAAGTTCAGATAAAACATTTGTTACCGCTAACCGCAACATATTCCACTTTATTTCATATTATCGCATGGTTTGGAACTTTTCCTTTGTTCTTATAACCCATTATACTCAGTACACTTCAATGAGCATTTCAAAACTGTATTGATATATAACAGTACAGTTTTTTCATTGATTCATATAGGAAAAAAACTCGACTGTTATATATCGTTCGAGTTTTTTTCGCACCTTGTATATATCAATACAGTTTTTTCATGGAGGCTCCAATGGGGCAGTGGTAACGACCATTCCCAGTAGCAAAAAAAAAATAAAAAAATGAAATCAATAAAAATAAAATAAAATAAATATATAAATACAATGAAAAATATAAACAAAGATAATTAATGAAATGAAATTTACTCTCATTTAATCAAAAGGTACATCCGCTGAATGAATTATTTCCACTGAAAAAAACCCTTTAATCTAAAATCAATCTTGGTAACAGTATACAATCCGCCTCTTATATTGGATGTCTTTTGTATATTTTTTTTGCGGCAGCGAAAACAACTTTTTCTATTTGTTTCTATTACAGAAATAGAAAACATTATGCTATTGCGATAAAACAGTTATAGTATATGAAACTCGTTAGTTACGGGTGTATAACACTGGCTGGGGCGACATCTCGGGATGTTTCTGCAAAAAAAATTGTCTCGGCCTAACGGCCTCGCCATTTTTTAGCAGAAACACCCCTTGATGTCGCCCCAGCCAGTGTTATACCCTCGTAACTAACTCGTTTCATGTACTATAACTATTACTTACAGTAATGATACAATTGATGAAATAAAACCGAGTAATAAGTTGTATTGCTTTACAGCTTTTACACTTCATGTACGTAATCTTGTTCTGTTTTCATAACATGCATTTATGATATAAAGATACCACTCGAACGAACTCGTCTCGAGCTTATTTGTTTCACCTTTTATGAATCATGTATCGTGAAAATTGTCGTCGTTTTTCAGTTTTTATTACACTCGCACGACATTGTCGTGTTTGCCGACTTGATCTATTGGACGGACCGGTCAGCGGAGACGGTTTCCATGTGCCTGAAGTACAACTGTACACATCTCTATACCAACCAGGAACGCCTGAACAACCCTATAGGAGTTACTATATTCCATCCGGCTAGACAACCTGAAGGTTCGAATCTTCTTCTCTCCAGTTCATAACCTTAGCTTTTCCTTAGAACAAGTGTGGACAATAGCATTTCACTCGCAACAAAAGAAACACAGTCTTTCACGAAAGATATTGTTGCAATGCTTTGAAATATACTATTTTCATATAATTTCACTTGATGATTAAACCATATGAAGAAAAGTAAGACATTTAATAAAAAATATATATACCTTCGTTTCTAAATAAATGTCATTTTGCAGAGTGTTAAATGGGATTAAGGACTCTCTACAGTATTGACATTCCCTAATTATGATATCACGTGCACAGCGTAAATTAATAATGCACGTGACGAACAAGCATTATAAAAACTTAGTAGGTACTGTCAGAAGTGGGAGCTGCTTAGAATTTTTAGGATATAATCGCACATTTGCCGATATTTACCAATTCATTAGGGTTCGAAATCTTTAAATATTTTAGTATTAAGGGCAAAAGCTAGAGGTAGCCGGCGAGGAGATGATTTTGTTAATGTGTGTCTTGTTTCAAAATTAATATGTCGTGTCTTCTGGTTTTCAGTTGGCAGGGGCGAAACGTTTTGAAACCACGAATATACTAACTGTTTGCCACGGCACACGGAAAACACCTAACAGTCATAGTCCGAATCACCAACCATGTACACTGTGCACTGTTTTTTTTTTACAAACATGTTTGTTCTAAAATAATTAATTATATTATACTCGAATAAGAAAAGATAAATCTTTCGTTTTCAGATGAAAATCCATGCAGTAAAGCCTCGTGTAGTCACCTCTGTTTGCTTTCGCCTGTGAATAAAAGTGGGTTCATCTGCGCATGCCCAATGGGAATGCGACTTTCACAATCTGCTCCGCATCTCTGTGTTGAAGGTAAAACGTCTTTGTTAGGCATAGTAATACTGTTAATGTAGCTTATCAGAATTTCCTCATGAAAAAACAAACGTTATATTTTTCAATTCATCTTGTGTCCTTTTGACTAAAGCATTTAAATGACACAATCTTCAAAGAAACTAGTGTCATTTATATCTTAACAAATGAAATTCGAAAAGATTATTTAATATGTTCGTCTGTTAATTTGGAAATTTATGAAGTCTCTCAACCTAATTATTTAATGCTAATCATATGTAAAGAATACCGTTTATTAAGGTTACACCATGAACTTTAATATCAGTGTAAGTTTTGTATATTTTCAGACATTACCGATTACATAATGTACAGCCACGCAGAAGGTATTTCCGCTTTACAACTTCCGGTTAGATTAGGTAATGAGAGTTATCTCCCATTGACAAGGAGTCAGAAAGTTGTTAGCATGGATTTTGACAGTCAGAAAAAGCAACTTTTCTTTGTTGAAGAGTCGAGCAGAGGAAATGTAAGATACAAAACACCTTTGTACACAAGGACTTGTTAAAGCATTTACAACCGTTTCGTTGATTTGTTTGTTTTATTCCTTTCATTTAAATCATTACCGATAATTCATTCAGTGCGTGGTAAAATTATCTGTCTGCTCGTTTCTACTTTTCAATTTTTGGAAGTCAATTAAATGTGATCATTTCATGTGAAAAAGTGGGTTCATCTGCGCATGCTCAATGGGAATTTGTAGATTACATCTTGGAAGACAGATATAATTATCCTTCCCGGTTACATTTATTTCAATGTCGACTTCGTTGTCTCGCAGGGATTAATATTTTGTATATTTGTATTTCTTTAGTAAAAGCGAACACAATTCTTGATATTATGATTACCTCATCAGTATCAAAATTAATTTTGCAGACGACACTGAAGACCATGGGATTATTCTCCGGTAATGTTTCTATACTCGCACCGACAGCATACATTGGTAACCCGGCCGGTGTTGCCTATGATTGGGTCTCCAAAAATCTGTTTTGGGCCGATTGTAAGTATGCGTAGCAGACGATATAAGAGCAATATTTCTGATGTTAAGCGAAAAGCTTTTGTATGATATTGTTTTGGAGAGGGGATTCTGAGATGATATTTAATTTTCTCACTATGAAAATAATTGCCGTTACTGTATGTACACATGACTGTATGTTTACAAAAGGGAATGGAATATAATGGTATTTGAATTTGAAATTAACCATTTTTATCTTTCAAAAAAAAATATAAAAAAATAATAAAATCATAAGATTTCATTAAAACGATTTTTCTTTCTTTTACCTTTCTCTTGTAACTAAAACAATAATATCATAAGAATTAAACAAAACAAATATAAAAAGAAATATTTTACACCAAGTGGGTGTGTCAAAATATAGGCCCATAAAGTCTAATATTTTTGTTTTTTAATACTTTTTACTTTATGGTGTCTTGTTAGAGTGTCCAAAAGATTACTCATTGGCTGAACTATCTTTTGTTTTTTTTGCGTTAATACATTTAGTAAGTTACAGTGGTTAAGTATTTTGTATGTAAGTCAAAATTCCACTTTAGTTACATTTTGCTACCTCTATATAACAAATAATTATTATTTCATATTCAGCGCTATTTTCTTTAGATGCTAAGCATCTTACATATTATTATCATTATTACAACGTTATGAAACAAGCGTTTGCCCTTTTTGCAGAAAGAAAGAAAAATATTTACTTTTTAGGCTGAATGTGGCTTTAATTCATTTATCAATGCTGTAATTGTATTTATATATTCAACATATAATGCAAATGACGGATATGACTCATTTGTAACCTAAGCACGATATGATCTCTTCATTGTGCAAATATTTTTTTTTCCTAGTTGTAAGCGGCACCATTGAGGTGATGAGGACGCAAGGTAAATCTGTGTATCGTAAAGTTATTTTAAGTAACATGGGAAGACCGATAGACTGTGTCACACCGGTAGCAGTTTGCGTAGATCCCTCAAGAGGGTAAGTTGTGTACAAGACGCATATTTTACCCATTGAATTGTCAACTATAGTACAACTACATGTACTTTATTGAATGACAAACAAGAACTCTTCATAGTCCTCTTTGTACTTTGATTCATGTTAACGAATGGCACGGGAATGTGCGTGAATTTCGGAGACGTACTCCTGAGTGAGAGCAGAACATAACAGAACATAATATTTATTTTGACTTAAGCATATAAGCATTCAGCATTAAGCGTATCATCAATCATGAAAATATAATGCATGTACATTCAATCGCATACAAATGAAAATGGCAAAATAATTTGCAAGTTGCATAGAAGGAAAACAATATACAATGTCATCAGTAAGCATCAAATCAAAATTGGCAAATATACATTATTACATACAAGTCAACATTTGATATTTTGTCAATGTTGTCATGTTGTTATTGGTAATAAGATAAACTTTATTGTTGCATTTTAACTTATAAAAGCTTAGAAATATAGATAAAATACTTTTCAACAGTTATAATTTATATGATTGTTTCTGTGTTGACTACATTTGTTATAATGTACTCACATATTCCAGGTTTATTTACTGGATTGATATTGGAGGTCACGGTTTGCGTCCCAAACTGGCGTCAATGTTAATGGACGGAACGCAAAGACAATTGCTTCATGCAAGACGTGTGGACACGCCTACATCGTTGTCACGTGATCCTGCTACAGGCGATTTGTATTGGACAGAAGGCAGACGACAACAGGTAAAGCATCACTAAGGAACTAAAATTAAAAAAATATACATTTATTTAAGAAATAACATGCCAGAATGTGTGGATATCAAGAAGTGGAAAAGTTTCGAATTGTTGGATTAACCAAAAAATAGCTGAATCTCATTTGGTTTAAATACTGTCAGCAATGTTAAGAAAGCAACATGAAAATGTTTTTAAAGACCAAATATGAACAATATATTGATGTTGAATATTAAGAAAAGAAGTTATGTTTATAAGATATTCATTCGACCATTTACCCTTACTCCGCAGAAACCGGAAGTGAGTAGTCTGACCATTCTCCATACTGTTGGTAGCTCACTTTTCATATTTTGATATTGAAATATTGACATTATGAAGAACTATTTTGAATTCAAAGCTATCCATTAGAAAAATTCAGCAGCCTTATACTTACCAACGAGCATCTTTGCAAACCGCCATGTTGGTATTCTCTCGAATAATGACGTCACACCGGGAAAACACCTCTCATGTTAATTTGATAGGTTTCACGATAACAGTTACTGCTGAAAAACGGCGAGAGTTGCTTCGGATTAATCATAACATAACCCGAAATAAATCGCTAATTACCGATCTTTAAGGGTTTGTATAATTATATTTTTCAACATTTTAACAGATATTAAAATGGGAATTTCGCACTCGTCGGGTGATTGTTGTACAAGATAATGTTGGCAAACCAAACAGCGTCTCGTTATTCGGCGGCGTTTTATACTACGCCGACAACAGCCGACAAACTCTTAACAAACTTGAGCTACGTAAAGGCGGAAACATGACCGTGCTGAAGAAAAATGTCAGAAAGGTGAAGGCCATTACAATCTACCACAACCGCAATGTTAAAGGTGAGTCGCATATTTCAAACGGGAAAAACAAGAAAATAAATTAATAGTAACACGGTGCATATAGCACATGGCATTTTTATGATCTGCACGGGGCCAAACAGCAACAGCAACAACAAACATAAACCAAAAACGCTTGGAACTGAAAGAAAAATTCTTTGTTCTTGTTTAGAATAGAGCGGACTCTGCTCTTTATTCAACAGAAAAAAATGAAATACTAAAACAAAAAGGTATGGCAAAGGAGAAAACCTATTGATTTAAATTTCTTCCCCGCGCAGATCACAAAGTCACGTGGTATAGGCACGGTGGATTAACTTTAAACTCTAAAGATTTCTTAAACAGTAAATGGTGATATCATTGCTTAGCTTCAAATATTCGCTGGACAAGGTAAATTTCAAAATCTTACATGTGAAAGCAAAATTCAAGAAAAATGCATTCCCAACTTTACCCCCCCCCCCCCACTTATAAAAAAATTTAAAAATCCCCACAAAGTTAGAAAATACAATGTTTTGTCTGACTAATAGTTGATATTTTTTAGTATCTTGTTTCGTTATTCAGCGGGAACATATTTTACTTATTACTGTTAAACACAATATTTCAATCAGGGGAAACCAACAAGTGTGTTTTGAACAATGGTGGATGCGAACAACTTTGTCTTCCAACTAGCCCAGCGTCGGCGGTTTGCGCGTGTGGCGTTGGTTACGTCAAGGCTGAAAATGGGTCATGCGCAATGAGAGAATCATTTATACTTGTTTCATTCGAAGCTTACGTGAGAGGGTTTGCTATGAACAGAGATGACCATGATGATGCGATTTCGCCAATAGGAGGCACGGGTAAATAAACATTTTAATGTATGAATTATTAAAGGCACAGGTCCTTTTAAAAAGACCATATTAAACATCATGAATTGGTCTGTGTTAGATGACGTCAGATAACGTCATGCCATCAAATCGATTAAGCATTTTTTTCAGATAAGTTTCCATGTGGAATGAATTTCGAAAAAGATGGAATGCATATTTCCGAGAAATTTTGAAAATATTCCCGGAATGATGGAAAATATTTCTGCGGGAAAGAGAGAACAAGATTTCGCGATAAAGATGGAAATTCTTCCAGCGAGAAAGATAGATTCCCCATCAAGAAAGATGGAAAACATTACCCGCGAGAAAATTTAGATGGAAAACATTTATTTATGACCCAGATCATTTTAGCCTTATATGATGTTCCGTGAAAAGAGGACCGTTTGATCCTGATCTTTTCCTTGTAATCACGGGGTTTGGCGTACGTTATTTTTTATTTCATTGCAGATAGGAGTATCTTCCAACTTGATGTTCACATGGCGGGAAAACATATATACTGGGTGGAGTTGCCCGGCTCTTCTTTAACAGAAGGCATATATAGAATGAGACCGGACGGAAGCGGGTACCAAAAAGTTATCACCGGAAGTGCTTTGAACAAACCCGGTGCTTCCGGTATCAAAGGCATAGCCGTGGACTGGATTGCAGGTACATTGACATTCTACTCCGTATCATATGTTTTAAAAACCTTTTTATTTAAGTAATTCATGTAAAACAAAATGGCAGTTTAATCAAATTCTTCCTGTTTATTATAAAAAAATATCCAGGGACACTTCAATTTTTGTCAAAGTTTAAAAGTTGATAAACGTGTCGCTTTTTTCTTACTAAACCCTTTATTTGTATTTTAAAGTTTAATATTTAGAAAATTTGGTGATGTTTTTATCTCGATTTTTTGTATTCATGCTACAAAAATGTCAGGCTGATCTTCTTAAAGTTCAGTAGCGAAGAAACTCTCAAAATGCATTTTGCCGTGATTACTCTCATTTTACCATGTTTTATCTCGCTCTCTGTTAAAATGTTTTACTACATTGTTGCCTTTTTTACACTTTGTTTACCCGCTCTCTTTTATGATGTTCTCTCTTTAAAATGTTTACCACTATGTTTACACGCTCTCTTTTTTAAAAAGTTTACTCGCTCCATTTTTTACAATGTAAACCCCGCTCTCTCGCGTTTACTGCAATGTTAACCATAATGTTTACGCGTTCTATTTTTAAGATGTTCTTTCTTTTAATTGACATGAATATGCTGAATCATTATGATAATTCAAAGATTTTATTCAAGATTTTATTAAGGCACAAACGTATTGTCTATTGCCATAAACAATAATGGCGTGTATACATACATATAAACATACGTTGATCAATGGTTTAATCATTACAAGGACGATTGTATCCCTCAGTGTGTTTTTTTCCGAGAAAATCAGCTTTAAGTTTGTAACACTCGAGGTTAGTCAAAATCAACATTCCTGTTTCGGCGCCATATGACCCAAATTTTGTTGTTGCGCCGTAAAACCAAATAAAAATCAACAAAAGAAGAAAACAAATCAGCATTTGCATGATCATTGTGCGACAAATTATTCTCATTGATCAGGAAAATGAACGCTGAATGAAGAAAAAAAGTATTTACAGCAAAATTGCATGTTTGCAAGTAATGTCACGCACTCTAATTGAAGTATCTCATTATAAATCATAAATTCCGCATAAACCGCATCATTTCGTTTCTTTGATCTTCAGGATTCAATTATTTTCTGTGATGTATCGAGAGTCTAATTCTTGGTGTCTTTTTTCATTCATCTGAAGTGTTTATCAAGTTGTTTTGTCGTATATATAAATGAAATGTTTTCCCTGTCTGTTCTCAGTGAATAATTATAAGGCAACTCTTCAGAGTCAGTTTAATAATAATAATAATAATAAGAAAGACTTTATTTAACGAGAGAACTCATTTGAACGTCTCAATCTTCCATGAGGCCCTCCACAAGGAACAATATAAAATTAACATATTCAAACTATTGAAATACATATAATATTATGTAAATACATACTGGAGATTATCCATTTGTATACATCGATGTGTGATAATATCTCAAGTATAAGGTTTTAAAATGGTTCACAGATGTAGCAGACTTAATATAATCAGGAAGGCCGTTCCAAATACAAGATCCAGAATAAACAAAAGACTTACGAAATTGTTCAGTATTTGGTCTAGGGGTATAAAGTTTAAAATCAGATGATGCACGCAAAATACCAATATGAAATTATTCAATAAATATGAAGGCGCCTGATTATTCATTATTTTAAACATCATAATAGCTTTTTGAAAAACAAACCTTTGTGAAAAGGTCAGCAAGCGGAGTTTCAGAAAATAGTTCAGCATATGGAGTGTCATAATCGACAGGTTGTTTACGATCATCTCGGAATATCTGCTTTAAAGACGATTTCGGTAGTTTTCTGTGCGCATCGTTATGCGCATCCAAGAAAGGTAATCACGGATAATTACTCTTCAAATGAAGGTAAAGTTGAATAGTATTCGGATAAGTGTTTAAATTTCGGCTATAAGCAAATAATGAGTAAATAATACAGAATAGATATTTCTAAATGTTCAAAAGGAGATTGGTTCAAAAGAATAAGAATGTCGTTTAGACAACATCACATAAAGTATTTCTCCAAGCATTAGTACGACAGCGTTGATGATAATTCTGCGCGCGTTACCCCACCCACTAGTGGTATAGTGACAATTGATTACTGGCAGACAACTGGGCAAAGAAGTTTAAAATGATATATTTTAAAAGTTTTGAATAAAAAACAAAATTAATATCCAAGAAATGTTGAGAATTTCATTATTTTCTTTGTAAATTTCTGAATACTTGCTTACTGTTCGGGCATGTTAGTCGAGTGAAAAAAATAATATGGCCCTAGATATGTTTTTAAAAAAATATTCAGTATCATTTACTTAATATAAAATCAAAAGAAAAGAAATTCTTATTACAACATGTTTTATATTTGACAGTACATTTAATATAACGCTGATATTTCTTAAGAAAGCGTACGTGGTAATTTTGACAGTTGGCATATGCGGTAACCATGGACACTGCCCGTTTACAAAAAACTAACACTTCAACATATATATTTTATTTCTATTTTTGAATCCACAATCAAATGTTACTTGATATATCAATAATGTAGCAAATTCTGTAAAAGAAATTTCTTGATAGCTTTAATTTTTTACAGAAAATTTTCATGTTTATTTTTCTCATTTTTTGTTTAGTTAAAAAGCATGAAAACTCATTTTTTTTAAAGAAATATGTCCAAATTATCGTTTGTTTTTATACAGAACCCTAATATAAAGCAAGCTTTGTATAAAATTATGTTTATTGTGAGTGTAATAAGCTATTTTATTCATTATTATAATACAGTTTGGATATTTTGACAATTTTGAGATATACGGTTACCATGGAAACTGCCATTTTTCAAAAAATCCAACACGCCAACATATATTTTTCTTTTTCTTTTTGAATTTGTCATTAAATTTTACACAATATACAAAAAAATTAGAAAATTCTATGAAACACTTTTTTCAATATCTCTAATTATTCTGAGAATTCATGTTCATTTTTCTCATTTTTTGTTCGGTTGAGGAACATGGAAAACTCATTTTTTAAAGAAATATGTTCAGATTATCATTTGTTTCATACATAATCATTAGATAAGGTTATCTCTGCATAAAACAATGCTCGTTTTGTGTTTTAAGCTATCTTTTACATTTTTTATTCGTTATAACACAGTTAGGCTATTTTGACAGTTTTTAGATATACGGTTACCATGGAAACTGCCATTTTACAAGAAATCCAACACGTCAACATATATTTTTCTTTTTATTTTTAAATCCGTCATTAAATTTTACTCATCATACAAAAAAATTAGAAAATTCTATGAAAGGATTATTTTTTCATAAAACTGTAGAAAATGTCTTTAATGTGGCAATAACAAGCTTTCACAAAAGTGTCTTCGTTTTATATTCCATATTTTGATCAAATTATATAAAATTTAATTGTTAAGAAATGCCGACTGTCGATTAGACCAAGATAAAGTTTTAAATTTCAAGTAGTCTTAATAATTATACATGTCCAATTTCAACTTAAGCAGACTTTTGTCTAAACTAAACAATTAAATGAACCATTTGTTCATCTTCCGCGGTCCCTGTAAGAATTTCTATTCGTACGAACTACCAGACCTGTTTTATCTCCTATGATATTGTATTTCTTACAGGAAATTTGTATTTTACCAACGTGATGTCCAGTGACACATATATAGAAGTATCAAGGTTAGACGGACAGGATAGGTTAGTCCTCATCTCCGATCCTGCCAACTCGCCCTCTGAATTAGCAGTTAATCCAATTAAACGGTAAATGTACAACAAAATGTATGGTAACTATAAAACCGGAAGTGACTTCTAAATTCCATAATTAATACTAAACTACATGTACTAGCATTTCATAGATCACTTTACCACAACTGTTCAGTTTGAAGTATGGTTTGAAGTATGGAATTTGTAAAATGATATTGGACGTAGGAAGTTTGTTGAATGCTTTTGGGGGTAGGAAGTCTTAAAGTTAAAAGTGGAAACATTCCATATTTCTGAATTCGACCTTTACAACATTTTACTTTCAATTTATACTTTACACTTTATAAGAATATTCAAATGATACATTTCTATTGCTTTTAACTTTTTATCAATATTTTAAATATTTATGGAAAAATTCGCCTAGACTTAGTCTTTGACATTCTTTATAATATTCCTTTTCGTTCTCTGTGATACATTATCTGTATTTATGACAAATGAAAATTGTATAAACCAATAAATCGTCCACAAAAAGTAATAGCTGGTTAGCTTAAGCGGAAATTTGAGCATCTTGTACGGAAAGATTTATGGATGATATATCGACCTCGATCTACGTCTGCGTAAGATTCTTTTCCAGTCAATATTCATTTTATTGTGACATAAACTTCCTATTAAAATAATGCACAGAAATGAATTGTTCTACTTACCAGATATTTGTACTGGCTAGACGCTGGACAGTTTCCCAAAATAGAACGCAGCTGTCTCGACGGTTCAAACAGAACAGCCATTATTACAAATGGCGTATTGAAACCAAGCGGGATAACTGTTGATATTTTAACGCATGATGTATACTGGACTGATTCTTCCGTTGATGCGATTCAGGTATCTTTATCATTGTTATAATCTCATTCTTACAATAGACTTATCCTCCTTTGAATTCGGAACAATATATTTACAGTTTTAGGGGGTTTAGTATCAAGCAAACAAGGCCGAGTGGTTAAGGTCGTTGACTTCAAACCACTTGTCCCTCACTTGTGGGTTCGAATCCCGACAGGGACTTTGGATTCTTTCATGCGAGGAAGCTATCCAGCTAGCTAACGGAACGTCGGTGGTTCTACTCAGTGCACGTTCGTGCCTGAAATAATGCGTGTGAAGGTTTTCCTCCACCAGTAAAGCTGGAACGTCGCGATATGACCTATACTGTGTCGATGTGACGTAAAAAACCAAAACAAACAAACAAAAACTTTTTTTTTAAATTTTAGAGAGAAAGCAATCTGTTATTAATTTTTAGGTCAAAAGCAATTTCATTGCAAACATTTACTTTTGCAGAAAACGGACTATTTGGGAAACAATCGGAAATACGTGCGTAGTAATTTACCATTTCCTGTCGGGATCGCAGTACTAAATGAAAACGTGCTTTGGATGGATCAGTCGCTTGGTATATTATACAAAGCGGACAAGGGTGAGCCGAATATTCGCGCCAAAATTCTAAAAGGAGGTTTACATCACGTGATGTCGTTGGCTATCTTCGATCAAAGGATGCAGCCAAATGGTTTGTAAGATTAGCAAAAGTATATCATTACATAGAGTGTGTTTTCAGTGTGAGCAATCCAATGTTTTATGTATTTCAATTTCTTATCCAGAAAACTAAACATAGAAACGTTATTGTTTATACTTTATCATATAAACCATGTGTTAAGAAAATTAACTACAACAAAATGACCCTCCTCAGAACAAATGTTGCTATACCAGGTTGGCTACAGATATATAACTGATTTAGAACTTTTTTACCCTAACACCGCCTGGTGTGAGCCAATCACATTTGTCGCATATGAACGTTATTTGATAAATACGAACGCTCCCTTTACAGTCACAAGTCCATGTTCAAACCAAAATGGCGGCTGCGAACAATTGTGCTTCTCGATTCCAAACAGTGAAGAAGTCCGTTGTAAATGTAGTAAAGGACAATTAAAGACGGATAACAAAACCTGCGCTGGTAAATGTATAATTTTCATCACAGATTTGTATTTTTTTTTTCGTTAAAAAACAGCAACAACAACTAATTAAAATATAAAAACTATATAAAGATAATAAGATCGTTAGAACAGTAAAAACAGTTTCCGATGTTTGAAAATACACTACAATGTATAATACGTCTTGTGTGAATGGTGGTCTAATGGTTAATGTGTCCGCCTCTAAACCCAGGGGTCATGGGTTCGAGTCTTTATTGGGTCACGACAAAAATCGAGAACTTGATTCGCAATCGAGCTTAAATAACTATGTTTTTTAATTTTTTTTTTGTTGTTGTTTGTTTTTGTTAAATCACGTGAAGTATAAACATCAGCATTGTAAACTTTTATTCGTAGAATCAGAGGCAGAATATCTCATATTTACTGCGAACCAGAAGGTGCAAAGTGCCTACCTCGATATTGCTATATTATCCGCCCCGTTTGAACCGAAGGACAACAAAGGAAGCCCATTAGCCATTGATTTCGACTTTGAGAAGAAACTTATATTTTACTCAGACGGTCTTAAAAGAGCAGTGTTCCAAGTGAACACAACGTCGTCAAAAAGTGAAATGGTGTTCGGAAACAGGAGTTTACCAGACATTGAGATGATGTTAGGCAAAAGGAATTCTTCAAGAGAACCAGGTGAGTGTCAACCCAAAACCGTGAAATCGAACACACCCTATGCTATATTTTTTCCGCTCATTATCGTTTTACAGGAATTAGTTTCGCGATTAAGTCCTAGAAATATGAATTTGGTTTTTATTTACGTTATTGAAAAACGATGAAACCCCGTGGTGTCTTTAGCAGGCAGAGCACACCCGGAGCACTAGGTAAGTGTGAATCGGAAGACTGGAAATCAACAAACCCTATTTTTCATTCGTTTCGTTTATTATTGTATTCCATAGAGAAGTTTCTCATTTATGCCCTAAAAAATTTATATAATGATTGAAAAAAAAAATGAAACCCCGTGGTGTCTTTGGCAATCAGAACTAATCTGGAGAACCCGGTAAGTGTGAATCTACTGACATGAAGACATGAAATCGAACAAATCCCATGCTTAATTCTTTTCGCTTCTTCTTTGCGCTTTATTCTTTTCGCTTCAATGTCTCATTACCAGGAGAAGTTTTGGGTTTAAGTCCTAGAAATATGAATTGGATTTTATTTAGTGAATAAAATATGCACAGCACAATGTGTACTCGGATTTAATTGTTTTTTTTTTTAATTTGTTTTTTTTTTATTATAATCAGCTTGGCTCAAATGAATAAATGAAAAATTCTAGACAATGAATAAAGATTTCAATAAATTTCAGTGATTAAAATCAATTACATAAATTTCGATTACATGTTCATGAGTTCACAACAGTGCATTTTTTTTCCAAAGGAGTACATGCACAGCTCATTAAAACGTTTGACGGGGTCAAAAGTCTGTCCGAAATACTATTTGACCTTTTCGTACCGGATGATCAAACCATTAACCATTACTCCTTTAACCAGAAAGTTAATGGTAACTTTAGTAAGCCTTTGTTTAAACCGCTTATGCTCAGTTGGTTTTAACCGGTGAGCTATTGAGCCCGAAGGGTGGTATTTTAAATTTCAGATCGTCCAATTTTCTCCGAAGGCGTTGGTGATAGCATATCATATGACTGGCTGGAGAAAACATTTTACTGGACAGACACTGTACGAATGGCGATTTATGGGATGGACATCAACGGGACCGGATTCTTAAGATACGGCGCGGGACTTCCGGTCACCGAAGTCGTGGTTAATCCATGCAGAAGGTATCTTGTCTTTCTCAAAGAAACATACATAATGTATGTAATTTGAAACTATTACAAGAACTTTTCTTTGTAAACGAAGGTGATTCCAGTTAAGGTCATGACCTGTGACTTACAATGAAGGCGTGTTAACTACATGTATAAGAATAGTATAACAAGTAGAGAGAATGGTTAACAAACACTTTTTTTTACCCTTAGTTTGTCAAATAATCCCAAATATCTACCGACTTGACGTTTGCTCGTGACAAAAGGCCCGGCTTTCATTAAGTTCTCAAACTGAGACATATCTCAATCGTTGAGAAAAATCTCAGGTTTGTGCCGAGATTTTAAGTTTGAGAACGTTAGTGAAAGCCAAGACATATGTCTTATTGAGCCACACATTCATGCCTATAACTATTCCAAAATTCGTTCTTTAATAAATGAACAACAGTTGACCATATATGCCCAGCAATGCATTTTAATGAAACATTCACTTTAATGTGAAAGTGTGATCTTGACCATGTGACTGCGATACCATTTTGTCCCTATGGCCAACACATTTATCCAAAATTGTTTCAAATTGGCCACCAGAGTCAAAAATAGCATTTAGCTTTAAACAACATGTTTTTTTTCTCAATTACTTGTTGGATTTCAATTATACTCAATATGCATGATCCCTTGGTTGTTCTCTACAAAAATATTCAAGTTGTGGCGGTCTGCCGAGCAAGTTGACATTCAAAGCTGTAATTATGTAATGAACTTTATAAAAAAAAACTTAATAACACAGAACGTCTTGTGATATCATGAACTTAACAAGGTGTTTATTATTTTACTTATCATGAACTTATTTAGGTTGTTGTTTTGGAGTTCAACCACGACTCTAGGAACGATTCAGCGTTTTAGGACGGACGGTCCCCACGACAGTAAAATCATTTTAAAGAAATTCGCATTCCGTCCTAAAGGACTGACGATAGATTTCGAAGATGAAAGACTATATTTTATTGAAGCGTTTAAGTAAGTATAGTTCTATAATATATTGCACATGTGTAACTTGCTTTTCATTGAATAATAGTAATGATTACCCTTTGCCAACATTATAGGACCAGGTCAGCCAGCACGTCCGTGCAGCAAAACCGACACTTCCGTACAACAATACCGACAATTCCGTTCAGCCATACCGGTACTTCCTTTCAGCCTAACAGACATCTCCGTCCGACCTAACCAACACTTCCGTTCAGCCTAACATACATCTCCGTTCGGCCTAGCCTACACTTCCGTTCAGCCTAACCGACACTCCCTTTCAGCAAAACCAACACGTTCGGTCAGCTAAACCGACACTCCCTTTCAGCCAAACTAACACTTTCGGTCAGCCAAACCGACACTCCCTTTCAGCCAAACCAACACTTCCAGTCAGCCAAACCGACACTTCCGTACAGCCAAACCGACACTTCCAGTCAGCCAAATCGACACTTCCAGTCAGCCAAATCGACACTTCCAGTCAGCCAAACCGACACTTCCGTACAGCCAAACTGACACTTCCAGTCAGCCAAACCGACACTTCCGTACAGCCAAACCGACACTTTCAGTCAGCTAAATCGACACTTCCAGTCAGCCAAACCGATACTTCTGTATAGCCTTACCATATAGGCACTATATTGATGATGGATGTTTTGATATTGAAATTCTTTTCACTTCAAATAGCATTACATTTCAAAAGCAGGGCTAATTTATTACACAAAATTAGTTGGCTAGTATCATTTGGCTAGTATCAAATGAAGTAAATACGGAATGTGTACCGTGTGTTTCGGCGATGGATTTAGTGCAATACCGGTAGCCCGGCGATTACATAGGTTGAAAATGGTTGGTTATGATGTCAATTTTATTTGTAAAAGAAAATGTTACATAATACCAGGGATGTTTTAGCCTGATACAATGTATGCCATAATGCTTGGTGCGTTTTCTACGAAGCTTATCAACATATTGAATTTGGATTGGAACTTCAAGCAGTTTATATGTGTCAGAAAAATGGATTCCGATCTCAAAGATTTATAGACCTGATTAATAAAGCGCCATTATGGGATACCTGTGACAGTGATGAATCAGATGATGATTTGAATTAATGTTGTTCCGTTTCAAATGTTCTTACTAGTTTGAATTTTTTAAAACTTCAACAGTTTGGATTAGTTCAAAAAATCATGGTTTTTTTAAAAAAAGCCGCATAAGCAGTATCAAATAAACAGTTGAGAAACAATTCTTCTTTGTCTATATTTTATTTTGTAAAAGTAAAATATAGTCTCCCTGAAAAATATTTTGTTTGGGGATTTGGAAACCTTCATTGGCAAAATCGAAAGTGTAAAGGTTAGTCCCATCTGGCATCAGACCACTAAATAGTCAAGATGACGTCACTTTGTATTTCCGTGGCTGTATTTATTTGAGCCGTGTCATGACAAAATCAACATAATGGGTTTGCGACCATGCTGTTTGCTTACCAACTCTTTTACAAGTAGAGAAACTGATAGCGAACAGCATGGATCCTGATCAGATTGCGCGGAGGCGCAGGCTGGTTCGCAAACCCATTATGTTGGTTTTGTCGTGACGCGGCTCATTTCATTCTAGTGGTGTCGTGTACCATTGCGACTTCTATTTTATTCTTAGAAGAAAATGTTTTATAGTACCAGGGATTTATATATTTTGTAATTTTATACCCTAATATGTCCTAATTTTCACGGTGACGTCACTATGTATTTCTATGGCTGTATTTATTTATTTCAAGTGGTGTGGTGTACCATTGCGACTTCGATGGTCAAGGTCTTACATCATTTCTTTCTGTAAAAAGTATGACACGGGATATAGCAATATTTAAACAGAATATTTATTACGCAGACCCAGACACAAGTAAGTCGTAGTTTATGAATAGTATTTCCTTCAAATTAAATAAGTTTATGAATTGCATTCCCTTAAAATCAAATAAGTTATTGAATTACATTCCCTTAAAATCATACAAGTTTATGAATGATATTTCATTAAAATTAAATATGGTTATGTATATTATTTCTTTAAAAACAAATATGTTTATGAATATTATTTCCTGAAAATCTAATAAGTTTAGAAATATTATTTCCTTTAAAGGACGGACGTTAGCCTGGGTTCCAGTCTGTCGATTTTTATGTGCTTCTGTTCGGCAAAGTGATATATTGAGTATGAAATAGCGTGTATGTTATGAATAAGCAAATTATATCAACGCCTCAATCCCATGCTACACGGACGTTTATGAATACCATTTCCTTCAAATGAAATAAGTTTATGAATATTATTTCTTTAAAATCAAATATATTATCATATTATCTCTATATCTCACTGAATATGAAAAGACATACACATTTCCCATTACAGCAGACTATATTTTGATTTAACAGACTTTTTTTACACTTAGCAAACGAAACTAGTATTTTGTTTGATTAAGCAGACGACATTTTATTTTAGAAGTCAGGTGAGATGGTTATTAAATTCAACAGACGATATCTTGTTAGATTAAGCAGACGATAAATTATTTCTTTTTTTTAAGGAAACTGAATTTTGTTTAAGTAGCGGACAATATTTGTGTTTCATTCAGCAGAAGATATCATATGTGCTATAACAGACGACATATTGTTTACTTTATTTGATATCTTAATGACGAACGAAAAGATCGGTCTAATTTTCTTTCAGTAATGTGTAGCTCTGTGCGAGCGGAACTTGACAGTTTTATCATTTCCGCTAGGGAATACCAAGAAAAAAAAGGCGGCCTATTACTTAACAATTTTTAAACGGATGGCAAATTAAATAGAAAGTAACAAAGAAATAAAATGAAAATTTACAATTTGCAGATTTCATCTATAGAGCAAACAAGCTCACAGGGGCCAACGTTGAAGCTGTGTATGAGACCAGTGACGTAGTTTTTGGAATAGCTATTTATAGAAATAGATCCGATACGTGTGAGTATTTCGTCTGGATGCTTACTTCCGGTCATGAGCCATGCGTTCATATTTTTACCCTCCTATAACCGAATCAAAAGTGATATTAGCCTTTGCCACCAGTATAGAGCTAGACCAACATGTAATCCGTGAAGCCTGGTCAGGCTCTATACTGTGGGCTGATAAACATGAAACTTCATCTTCATCTTTCCAAAATTCTAAAAATAGAACCAGTATGTTTCTATTAAAGCGGTATGCCGTAAGATTCATGCTGATTTTCATGAAAAATTTAAAATTTCCTTTTAAACAAAAATATTGTAAAATGAACAAAGAAAGTAATTAAGACTTGCAAACAACACTTACTGTCCACGTAAATGACCAAAAAAAAATAAGAAGTAAAAATGTGCAAAAACAGTTAGTCAGTTAGTAGAAATATGGTGATAAATACTTCAAAATCAGTCCTTTATCGCACATTACAAGTAATTTTAATATTTGAATCTTGACTCTTTATATTTTTCTTAGAAAATTAGTACTTTTTTCTCAAGTTTGTTTTTCTTGAATCATTTTGGCTGGTCGTCAGGCATGCAGTTTTAAAAGAACTCCATTGAGGTCAAAAAGTCTAAAAGCATAAAATTTTAATTTCTTACCTAGATTAGCTAGGGCACTTAAAACAGAAAGATATGCAAAAGTTAATAAGAAATATACTCAGAAATATATTGAAAATCGTCTTTTTATAATATTTTATCCCATGTAACGCTTTGGTCACAATGATTTTTTCAGAATAATAATTCAGGAGTGGGCGAATTATTTAAAATTCTGCATACAGTTATTGGTCTAGACCTACATCAATTGGAATATTATGAATATCGAAATATTATTTTCAGCCCAGTCTTGTCAAAAAACCTCAGTGGAGTCCCTTTAAGGTACATGTAAACGTAGCGTAGTAAGTGTCAAACGTGCTTTATTACAGGTCATACCGATCCATGTAAAAACAATGGCGGCTGCAGCGAAATATGTACTGTGGGTTCCAACCGCGAACCCATTTGTTCATGTAATGATCCCTTTGAGACAGTACTGAGCAAAAACGGCAAAACTTGTGAAAAGAAGAATAACACCTGCAAAGATGACCAATTTGCTTGTACGAATGGAAATTGTGTGGGGTAAAATATAAAAAACAACACTATATTATAATTGCATTTCCATGTTTATATACTCACATCAGAAAATGCACCTATTAGTGTTTTGTTTACTATTAATTTTTTCCGAAACTTGTACTGATGCAAGATGCAGTTTGATATACATTTGATATAAACCTTTTTAGACTCTGAATATGATATTAGGGCTTTCTAGGGTACGATATGCATTTGATATGAATTTGTCGGACTAAATAAATAATATTGGATACAATGGTTACTATTAAACCATCACGTGGTACAAACACTGAAAGTTCATTGGTTAGATTTTATAAGGTATTTTATACTATTTTATGTTTTGTATTTAATAATATTTTACACATGTTCCATTTTCGTTAAGTGTAGAATACCGTCTCTTTAATTATGGGTTAGGTTGAATATAACTAAATATTTTTATTTTAAGCTATACTTTTATTTGTGACGGTAAAGCAGACTGTATGCAGACGGACTTACAAACCGAAGATGAAAGTAAATATTATTGTGGTAAGTAAATTATTAAAGTTTGTTCAAAAACACATTTAGATAGCCAAAAGGTTGTGTACTGTAAGCTGAAGAAGCTTATTATTACATTTTTTGTATATATGGAATTTTTAGTTTCCAAAATATTTGGGTTTTTTTTTAAATATATCACATGTCGAATTTATTTCTCGAAAGAGCGGGAACACGTGATCATTCGCGGATACAATGGCAGAAATAGGGACACCTAGCTTTTGGGGGAAATTTTATACGTGCACTCTGAATACTAGTAATCAAATTTAATAATCATGATATGCAGAAGAACCTGTATTGTTTTATTCACCATAAACTAAGATAGATGGACCCAATTAATTAGATAGGAAACTTAAGAAACATGTAAAATTCAATTTGTCCTATCTGCAACTTCTCACGAAAATTAATATATACTTTCGCAAGTGTGTGCTAAACCCTCGCGAGGATTACCTTTATCATTGCATGTCTCTCGTAAGAAGAACCTTGGCTTTGATCACCAGTACTAGAAAAAGACGATAATTTACTTGGTGCATACAGGACATCGTACTAATAGAGAGAAATAAGAATCCCTGACGAAAGCCCAACACGGCAAAATTGAAAATGTTGCAGGCTCGGTTTGATTGAGCCTATTCATGGACGGCACTGGAAAGTGCAAGTTTCTGTCCTCGCCCCCATGACACCGGCTTAAGCAGTATTCAACATTTAACATGAACTAGTAAAATTTAGAATTTTGAAACATCCGCAGATGTGTTCATATGGCGGTTGTCATGGAACCTTCAATGTTACACGTTAGTGCCATTCCATGAAAAGCGGCATATGGTCCCCAATTAAAAAAATGCATGACTTTTGATTGTGTCCTAAACGTGAAAACAATGGGCGGAACTAAATAAAATGGCACTTTGAAAGGGGTTCAGAGGTTAGCAAGCCTGCATATCACAGATATTACGTCCAAAGACAAAAACCTCTGACGGACTGATCCAAATTGGAATCTGGTATAGTTCGTATCGACGCTCGCAGCAGAGTTAAGTTAAGGACATATACAAGTTAGTACATAAAGTTTTCTCTGTATATTTATAGATTATAGACTGTGTGAGAGCTACGAGTACAGATGTAGGAGTGGGAGGTGTATACCATTAAACTTCCCGTGTGACCATGACAAAGATTGTCCTGATGGTGACGACGAGGAATTTTGCGGTAAAACTTGATATTTATCATAATTATAAAACATATTCGACATTATAATAACCAAAATCTTCCAAATTGAAAACCTTTTCAAACACACATCAAAGAACAAAAGATAGGTGTCTTGTTTTAATTTAGAAATCTAGTCCATATCCTATTCAACATCGTCAATTTCCGTGTGTGTAACACATATAAGGGGTAACAAGACAAGACGTTTATTGCCCCTGGTTACATTGATTTGAGACACGGAAATGGCCGATTTTTTAAGAACATAAATCTTAACAGTTTATTTAAATCTCAGATTACAGATTCTGCAGCAAATCGATGTTTGAGTGTGCAAACCGAAGATGTATAAGCAGTCAAATGAAATGTGATGGCGTAGATAATTGCCGGGATGGATTTAGATCTGATGAGTTGAATTGCGGTTAGTACGCCGTTTTTTGTCCTAGCTAACTTGTTCTAATATGTTCTGAATTCAACCACCATCTTCACGAAGTTAAAATCGTGAATTCGTGAAGTTGACGTTGCGATTTCGTTTATTCTACATGTTGAAATCGTGAAACTGTGAATTCGTGGAGATAAACCTGAGAATTCAAAAATTTGAAATGGCACCACCGGTTTTTCGTATAAATGCCACTGATTTCAGGTTACAATTAAACTGCAACGTTAACGAAACAGCTAAATAGACCCTATGTCTTGAATGTTGAAATTAAGTGCCCTTTTGTAATCACGCTTGATTACCATTGTCAGAAAATTTTATATATACTATATTTGCTCCTATGTCATCAGGCTACATTATCAGTGACACGAAAATTTTACATTTTCAGAACCCGTGGTCTGCAATGGTAGGGATCAAGTGAAATGTCCAAATACAAACAGATGTATACTTAAAAAAAATCTATGTGATGGGGACGACGATTGTGGTGACGCGGCTGATGAAGAAGACGTGTATTGTAATAAACATGGATGTGGAATAGGTATTAGTTTGGTTATCATTCAAAACCAAACAAAACAAATGTTATACTGTCCGACAAATGTCTGATATTTTACGCTGCAATTATCATATAGAATAATACACTGTTCTCCAAAAGTTTCGTAACATGTTTAAGCATATAATGCATTAAATGTAGAATAATACACTGTTCTCCAAAGGTTTGGTAACAGTTTTAAGCATATTATGATATTCTACATTGCATTAAAAATAAAATAATTCGCTGTTCTCCAAAAATTTCGTAACATGTATTTAGCATATTTACTTATAGTTATAAATCTATAAGTTTGGATGAGAATAACTTCATCAAAATGATAATATCTTGGAAACATGACGTAAAAATCAAACTAACGATAATGATGATGGTGGTGATGATGATGACGAAAGAATAAGCGAAACTTTAAATAACTGCTATTAATGTAATATTCTTAAAGGTCTGTCGCCAGTAATATCCACGTTTTTCACATTTTAATAGAATTTTATACTTAAGATTACAATAAATATGTTAAAAAAAATGACTTGAAATTTTCATATATCAAAGAACGTCATTTTATCTATTTAAAGATAGTTTGTGTAGTTGAATATGTTAGAATTTTTTCATGTTTTAAGATGAATACGCGTGTACCAGTCCGTCAAAAGTAAAATGTATACCGAAATCATGGTTATGTGACGGGGACCCTGATTGTACAAACATTCAAGGACAGCAAGATGAAGCAAACTGCAGTAAGTACATGTATTCCAAGGCGGTGATGAATTCCCATTGGGTTTTTTGATAAATTGGTATTTTTTCTAAAGGGAGCGTATTACAAAAAAGGTTGTACTCACGACGGGATGTATTGCAAAAAGAGTGTATTCCTACCGGAATGTATTGCAAATGCTGTGTTTTCCAATGAGATTTATTTGTATTAGTAGTGTTTCTCAGGAAATGTATTGCAAATGGGTTTTTAACCAGATTTTACGGGCGTAAAAATTTTCTTCTGTGCGCAACTCGTACATTTCTCGAGGGATTTTAACCAAACTTTCACAGAAGCTTTGTCATCAAGTGTCCTAGCGCGCATTGTCGGGGTGTTGTGATCGGATAATTTTTTTTACCTTATTTTGGCCCTTTTTTCCTGATATAGAATACATAGTGAACAATTTCTTCTGTGCGCATTCCTCCTACATTTCTCAAAGGATTTTGTTCAAACTTTCGCAGTAGCTTAAATCTTTCTACGATGGGTTAATTGATAACCTGGTTTCGTGGCATTGCCATGTTTCTTGTTTTGGGATGTTAAGTAAAAAGAGTGCTTATTCTCAGTGTGTGTTTTACAAAAGTTTATTTCTAGGGAATATATTGTAAACGAAGTATGTGTTCCTGTAGGGATTCATTCAAAAAAGTAATGTATTCCCAGAAATGTATTGAAAACAAAAACAATTTATTCACAAAGAATGTAAAAGATTTCCACAGGTGAATTGCAGTCCGCTCTAAGTAATATTAATCGAAATGATAAATCTAAGCTTTTGAAATTCAAAAGATTAAGCAAAGGAAATTAAAAGCTATGTTGTGGGAAACTCAACTGTCGGAATTCAGAAGCAAAGCTTTAAAATTCAAACGAAAACTTTAAATTGGGGATTTTTAAAAAAAAAACTTATACACTTTGTTACTATGTATATTCGTTTTATATTTATCAAAAAATATAATTATATTTTATAAAAAGTTTTGTTAATTATTTTGTATTTATATTGCAGTGCGCATATATAATAATGTTTATCTATTTTCAAGCAGCAAATATCAGTGACAGATCATGCGGTAAAAAACAATTCCGGTGCACTAATAATAAATGTTTACCAGAAGCATGGGTTTGTGATGGATCAAATGATTGCGGAGACTGGAGCGATGAAAAGAGAACAAGGCTTGGCCGTTGTGGTAACACCCCTCGTTTTGTTATTTCGTTTTCAGTAGAGATACTCCGAGGCCCGGAAATATGTTTTTTTTCTCATCTATTTCAGGGGTACAAACAAAAATCTTAAGTCACTGCATTGTAAATTTACCTATCATAAGCACACCACATTGGTCGCTCTGATATGAACGGTAGTGCACCGTGAAGCTATCTCGGTAAAATGTTCGTTTTACCTCCAGGATTAGACTGGAAAAAAGTTCACATTTGCCGAGTTCCGAATAACAACTTATAAAGTTTTATTCTTGCACAAAATCTGCGCACAAAGGCATACATTAACGGACCTCCATTAATCGCATGTAGAGATTCGGACAAGTTCGGTAACTTTTCATACCTCGTATTATAGACAAAGCAGTGAGCCTGACTAAGATTTCTCTACATGGTCAGGATCATATTAACGCTTTTTCAATCGCCAGAAGACACGGAAATATACGAAATTTGCCGAATTATTTACCAAGTTCTTATAATTGAATAAATATGAAACTTGAAGTTACGTTGATAAATTATGAGGCATGTAAAGTTGTTTTTCATTAAATGTTTTATTTTCTTTTTGAAAATACTTAAATTCCATTAAGGTTATATGATTTATTTCTAGTTTGTGAACCATTAAACACTCACTTGATATATTATTACAGAATTTGACATAATAAAAACATGACTTATGTTTTGTGCTTTGTATAGAAAAATCCACATGCAAAAAAGGTTCTTTCCTATGCAGAAACCACACACCTCGAGAAAACCTTTGTATTTCGAACAGACAGGTATATTTAAATTTAATCTCTTTTCACCTTAATATGATTAGTTACTTGTTATATGGAATAAACTATTAGTCAAAATTCTTATATAACCCGAGCCAAATTGCAAACGACAGTTTTAAAAGCATAACCTGTCAAAGTCGGTGTAACACATTTTTGCACAACTTTTCAAATAACCTGCAGCAGTCAGCTTGTAAAAAACTGGTTTTGTAAAATCTACGTCACGGTTAAATACCGCTAAATGTTAGCGTCACGTCACGCATAAAATTACATCATTTAAATGTCTGCTGTTTACACATAGGTATAAAAGATACACATTTACGGTATAAAAACTTCGAAAAGTGTAATATAATATGATAACGCACACAAAAGCCATTTTCTAAACCAATGAAAACCCTGCAATTTTTGCAACCCTACCTTCTACGTTTTTTTTACTTCAGCTGTGTGATGGAGTTGCCGATTGTACAGACGGGGAGGACGAGAGGGGATGTACCGCCCCTTCATGCGATCCCAGCGTTCCTGAGTTCCAGTGTGCTAACGGTGACTGTATACCGGCTAGATTTCAATGTGACCACGTGAAGGACTGCGCAGATGGCTCGGACGAAGGCAAAGAATGTGGTACGTTTTGATTACTCAAATGACGCTTCAATTTAGACGTCATTATATGCTTAGTGACGTCAATATTATCCAGTATTGTGTTACTTGTAAAATACACTGTTAAAAATCTCTTTTTATTACAATGATATTAAAATATGTCCTTTACAGTTTTATTACGGATAAAATGTTTTCAAAGATTTCCGTTTTAACATTTCGATGTCTCAATTAACATTGATGAAACGTTTCCCAAATTTATAATTCTAAGGAAATGTATGCTACGCATGAAATTTGATTCGGTAGCTTTAAGAATAATAATTTTTATTTCGTTCCGTATTCATATTTTGAAAACATTTTAATGTTTTGCTATAATTTATTCGTTGTAGTATACAGCGCATGTAAAGGAAATGAATTCATGTGTGGCAACAAGAAATGTATCCCCGACCATTTTGTTTGTGATGAAGAGGACGACTGTCTCGACTTTTCAGACGAGAAGGAATCCATGTGCAGTATGTGTTATATAGCCTTGAATACCGCTTTATAAATGGCGGTGCTGGGGGGTAATGGAATATTTTTGCAGCATGTGTTACACAGTCATTGATTCCAATAGGTTTAGTGTTGAGTTGAAAACCGTTTTGTAAATGGCGGTGCTAGGGGGTCAAGGAATCGATGTGCAATATGTGTTACACAGTCATTGATTCCAATAGGTGTAGTGTTGAGTTGAAAACCGTTTTGTAAATGGCGGTGCTAGGGGGTCATGGAATCGATTGACAGTACGTGTTACACAGTCACTGATTCCAATAGGTTTAGTTTTTAGTTGAACACGCTTTATAAATGACGGTGCTAGGGGGCCATGGAATCGATTGACAGTATGTGTTACACAGTCACTGGTTCCAAATTTAGTGTTGAGTTGAACACCGCTGTATAAATAGCGGTGTTAGAGGGGGCTCAAGGGCCATGGTGACCATTCCGTTATATTTCATTTACAGACCTTGTAAATAACACATGTCCTTCTATTTTTATCTACAATGTACTTGCTTTTGTTTCCATAGCTTCTAATGGTAGTTTCATTCATTGTAAGGAAACAAATACATAATTCAAGCAAATTTTATTGTCTGGATAAAAAAGAATATGCCGACGTGAACTTGCAAAAAATATTATAAAATTATTTTTAGGATGCAGACTGAATGACAAAACATAATCATTAAAGATAATGCAGTTATCGAATTTGTTTGTAGACAAATACTTCAAAGAGACAAATTATCCGACAAGAATGTTGAACTAATGGGCATGTTGTCATACACTCTATCATTTATTTATTTACGAAGAAATGTTTTGTGTTTTAAGAGAAATATACATCATGAGTTAATATATAAAAACCACTACATCAAAGCTTTTTATGGGAACACTAGGAATATTGCTATTGTTGTTGTGATTTAAAACCTTTTTCCCTAATTGACAAGCTTTTAGCCGAAGTACATTTCTCCTCATTCAACAATAAGCGCATCAAACTCTGGTTAATAATTAATAAGAGCTGTTCTTTGAACGAATCAGTCAACCAATTATTGAAAAAATCAAGAGATTCATGGCAGATATTCATTTCTTAGCTACAAATTTCCTAGCAAGAAATACAAAACCATTCAAAATCACATTTTGTTCTATAAATAGATCAGAGTTGTTTCTTTTATTTGATTGGTGTTCTTTAAATAAACTACAGTCACGTGCTCTGATTTTAGATAATTCTATTTTTAGATAAGAAAGCGATGACATGTCCAGAAAGCATGTTTCAATGTTACAACAGTAGTAAATGCATTAACCAATCAGCTGTTTGCGATAAACAACAAGATTGCAATGATTGGTCGGATGAAAAGCAGTGTGGTAAAACTTTTTTTTAAAATTTATACTTATGGAAGATGATAAGAAGTCGCACGATTTATGTTAACTATTTTGTCTTTGACCTCTTCACTTTGCACCATTCTCTAATTTTAGATTATACTTAAAGCTTAAACGTTCGACTTAACTTTTTGGATTTTAACAACCTTTAATTACCTATTGAAAAGTTAAAAGTAGTTATTTGTGAATTTTATCATAGGGAAGAATGAAACTTGTTTGAACTTTCTTCTATTTTTATAGCAAAAATTCGCTACTTTCATACCGTAGAACGATAAGCAACTTATTGATAACTCACCAAAAAAGGAATACTTCTACTAAAAGCAAATAAGCACATTTTGCCGCAATTTTATAAAACATATTTTAATATCAATTTATTTTATTGTTAAGTTCTGAAATATAGTGAGTCATTTTAATAATTTCACACTGTATTGCTCTAAAAAAAGTTGTACTTTTGTCTTACTTTTTTTCTTAACTAGTATAAAGTTTCTATGCGGTTATCGATATATTTAATTAGTGTAAGGCATAATGACAGTGGTTAGCGTGTCAACCCCCAATTAAGCAAGGATTTACGTTGTTTATTAGTTTATTAAGTGTAAAGTGTAACGCAAGACGATGAGTACACTAATGTAGGTTACAGTTTCATGTTTACGATTTCTTCAGCTTTTTTGTGAAATCAGTCCATACAATGTTCCAGTATAAGGATTGTTTGACTAGCGAGACGGCAGATGGGTTTGGGAATTGTGGTAGGGATGGGGAAATGGGGTCAGCAATGTGTAAGCGACTGGATATCTAAGTCTACAGAGTTTTGATCATTTTCTATAAAAAGTTATCTCAAAGTATACTTGCCTGTGTCATCAGCGTCCTAAATGTATTGTCCACTTGGTCTACAGTTTTGACGCCCGACCGCTAGACTATCGGATTGGTGATCCAGTGGTCACTGTTTCGATTCTCGGGAAAGGCAAACTTTTTACGTGACAATTGATCATCTCGGATGTTGTGTTTAATTTTGGCCACATTTAAATGACAAAAAAATGATAAAATTGGCTTAAAAAGCAAAAATAAAAAATAAGTAAATAAACAAACTTCTGAATTAAAAGGAGCGTTTAGGAACATTTATATATATATATATATATTATGTATCTTTCTATTTGAACTTAAGGCAATTTTCGATGCCATAATTGTAACTTTGTACTTCTGATTAAAAAGCAATGTTTGATATCTATATCTTTTTTACCCGAATAAAAACTAACGTTCAAGATTTCTACATGTGTATAAAATTCGATATCTATATCTTTCTTCAATTGAGTAAAAAATAACGTTTACGATATATGTCTTTCTTTGCTTTTGAAGGTGTAAATGAGTGCTTGTCTAACAGTACCGACATGTGCTCCCAGAAATGTGTGGACCTCAAGTCTGGGTATAAGTGCGAATGCAACCCTGGCTATAAACTACTGGATGACAAAGTGTCATGTACAGGTAAAATTTTGCTAAAATACATAATTATACTTAAAGGCCCAGTATGCCTCAGCAATGCTTTTATTTTTATTTCTCAATTATTTTTTAAAATTTTGATGTTCTTTTATAGAATCCAAAACGTTACACATTGGTCAATTACTGAAATAATCATTTGCTTTTTGGCAATAAGTACTGTTATAGTCAATTACAGTATTTTGTAAGGAAGCAAAATTACTATTTAGTTTACATTTTGCTACTTTTATGACAATTTGTTTTACATTGATGGCTACTTATTAAGGTAATAAGCATCTAATATTTCTCTAGAAACATTATTTAACATTATAAAATTCATGTTCCCTATTTCTAAAGAAGTAAACGTTTATTTGTTAATAGCCAGTCAAGGTCATGACGGTTATTTAAACAGCATGTCTCAGTATTGATGCTAATTTTCATGGAAACTATTAAAATGTATTTGAAAGTAAAATATTTGTTAAAGGAATAAAGAAAGTAATTTACACATTGCAAACGGCACTTAAAATCTACGAAATTTATCAAAACTAGATCAAAATAAGCAAAAAAAGCTCTTACTGTACAATAGAAACATGTAAAATCAGTCATTAAATTCATTAATTGCATATAACATGTAAATTATTTCTTGCATTTTGAACATGAAAATATGTAGACTTTTCTTTAAATCTTTCTATATTTCTGCTTAATGTTGTCTTTCTTGAAATAGTTCTGCTCAACTATAGGCATGCAGGTTTAATTGAATAACATATCTTAATAATAATATAAAATAAAATAATTGAACGGGTGGTATTGAGTAGTCGTTACGTCAAAAAATTCCTACAGTTTATGTGCTAAAGTGAGCTTTGGACGAAATAAAATTTAAAAAAAATGTCCTCAAAATTTGAAAGAAAAGCCATGTACCCTTTGTTAATTCTTAGACAAACAAAATACCTGGTATAATATTTGTTATTTATGGTTAAATTAAATAGATTTTGCCAAATAACTAATCCACACCATTGTCCTGAAAGGGAATTGACCAAACTATATTTCGACAGACTTTTATCCATTCAATGTAGTCAAAATATAAAAAAATTGTAATTATTCTTCAAACTTGGTTTGGCAAAAATAAAAAAATAAAATCTGAGTTTTTAGTTTAATACAAATCAATTGCTCCTACAGCGTGTCTGAAAATAACATCAAATAGGTTTCTTAAATTGTGGAAAAAAAATCTATGAAAATATTGGCAAAAATGTTTTGCCATTGGGCAATTTTGCCATGGCAAACTCCATTTACCACGGCCGACGCCTATTTTTTCACAAAGATAGCTATGAAAACAAAACATATTCGCTTTGTAACCTGTAAGTTATTAAAATGATGTATGATAGTTGTTTATACATATGAAGCGCGTAAAAATGTTTGCTGAATTTGCAAAACTGGCGTTGCAATTACAAACCGGCGACTATACTTAGCCTGTCTAAGGTAAATATTTTTAGCCAATGTGTAATGATGCCTTCATAATATCGCCACCCGTCATTCCTAGATAACAATTGTATATTTTACTTCCATTTAGCTCATTCTGTTATTTAGGAAAAAAATCTTGCTTTACTATGTCATTTCTGCAGTTAAGCAAAAACAAACGGCCATATTTTTTATTATTTATCTAGATATAGACGAATGTTTATCGGTACCTGGAGCCTGCAGTCAGGATTGTATAAACACACAGGGCAGCTATATATGTAAATGCAACGACGGTTACAAGAAACGGTTAGATGGGAAGACATGCAAACGAATTGACAGTATGTTTCAAATGTCATTGTAAATTCAATTCATATACTTATGCCTCATGCCTTTTGTTTTTTGTTGTTTTGTGACGCGGGGGGTTGGGGTAGTTTATGAAAATTTGAAAAATGGGAGAGCCCTGAATAGTTATGAAAACATAGTTTAAAAGTAAAACTCATTTCATGAGAGATAATAAAAAAAAATACAATATCTCACGACCCCCCCCAGCACCGGCTGAATCAGTATTCAATCTTCAATAAAGTAAAGTATTGAATATTTGTTTGCACTACTCAAATAGTATAATACCTTTAATAGATAATATAATGGGTGTTCTGTTAAGGTGATGTAGATATAAAATAAGATGATAACAGATATACCTTATTAATACTGAAATTTATCATATTATCATGCAATGAACTATACATATTTTAGATATAACACCTTGGCTTATATTCACAAACCGTTACTACATCCGGGAAATTACAACCGATGGCAAAAGTTATCAGAGAATTGCAGACGACTTTGGGAACGCTGTTGCTCTTGACATCTTGTACGACGAGAATATGTTATATTTCACTGACGTCACGGCTAAAGAGATCAAGCGAATGACAATCAATGGTTCCGTAACGGAAACAATAATTGACAAAGGAATTACGTCCCCTGAAGGTTTAGCGATAGACTGGGTAGCGAGGTAATTATTGGCCCTGTTGTTTTCTAAAAATAGAAAATTTAACCTCCGGTCTATAAATAGTAAAGCTTGAGTATCAAAAATAATTTTAAAAAGAGTACTTTGCATTATAATATGTTTTATCAAATTACAGAAATGTTAAAATGATTTTTTTTTGATACAAGTTTCATTTGCTTATGTAATTCATAGTAATTCATAAAGAGTAAACTCATCTTTTTGTTTCATAATATATCGAAACATACACGATTATGATTAAAGTATAAATATGTTATTTCCAGAAATAAATGTTGTAAAATGAATGGTGATTTTCAAATTATTTTTTACAGAAAGTTATATTGGATAGATGCCAAGAGAATAGCCATGTTTGTATCAGAACTGAATGGTACGAGTGTTAAAACTTTACTGAAGAAGAGTATTCTAAGACGACCACGTGCTCTGGTTGTTAACCCATTCACGGGGTAATTGCGAAATTTATACTACAGCTTGTTTGTAACGCCGATTTTGATTGGACGGTATTATCTTTATACGCGACTGCTGCAAATTTATGTTTAATTATTTAAATCAAAAGAAGCAATTGTTTAATACTATATAGCATTTTTAAATTTAAAGATGGTGTACAGAAATGATGAAGTGTTTTTCAGCTATGTTTAAAATCTACTAAACATCGCTCAATGATATATGCTACATTTTTTGTCTTTGGTTAGTTATTTTAAGAATATTTGTTACAGCTATGCCTATTGGTCGGATTGGTCTAAGGAATCTTACATTGGTTCTATTGGTCTAGATGGCTCTGAACCAAACATAGTTATTAAGCGCAAATTGGGTTGGCCGAACGCATTAACGATTGATTATGAAACAAATAGATTATGGTGGGCTGATGCTCATCTCGACTGGATAGAGTACGTATATTTTACATGCTTTATTCAAATATATTTTATGAAATTTATGTTTCATCATATAAACAGTTATCTGATTTCATGGATTAAAACGGGCAACGAATCATTGCTTGCAGATTATTGATACTCAGCTTGTTTAGAAACTACTCTGCATCCTTAGCATTCAAAGAAAACATTAGTTATATAAAACAAATTTGGTTTTGCATGTCATTGTGTCTTTTTATATGCACTAATTCGCAATGGTATTCTAAGCCCTTGTCAAAGAGTTCTAAATCAAATGTCGCTTATTAAGTATAGATATATATAAACAAATGTTAAGTCAGGGCATGAGCTCGACGTTTCGTATGCTATCTAAATGGAGGTCATATGATAAAGATATGCCAGTTCAGATACAACTTTCTGAAAATTTGACGCTAGTTAAACCGGTGTTTGGGAGTGTAGTAAAATTACTACAAAATAAATGCCCTGCTCGTCTGGCACATTGTTTTGCTTTTACTGCTTTCGTAAAAAACTGCAAGGTGCAGTTTCATATTTCATATGTAGCGACGGACTCCCCTTATTTCAGATATGCGAACGTAGATGGTTCAAACAGACACGTGGTACGCAGGAATGTACCCCACCCATTTGCTATTGCTGTATTTGAGGACTGGGTATATTGGACAGACTGGAACCATCTTACTATAGAGAAATGTAATAAATACACTGGTGAAAACTTCACCAGTCTACTTAATACAACACATAGACCAATGGATATACATGTCTTCCATCCACTAAAACAGAAACTAGGTAAGCTTTTTCTTCTTAGTTACATTTATTAAGAAAAATGAACTTTATCCAGATGAATCCTTTGTAATCCAGGCATGATGGTCACGTGACATTTGTTTTTACTTAAAAGGTAGTTTGCTAATGTTTCGTTATAATTTTTCAATATTTTGATAATAAGCATGTATCAGGCAAACATCTGCCAATTTAAAATGTAGCTTTGTATTTTTCCCAATATACTCGCACAGTGTTACCGCTTATTTTCATCAAAATCTTGCCGTATAGAAACATTTCTGCAAGCACAAAGGAAAAAGTAAAATAGCTACAACGGAAAGTTACGTTCCGCATGAATCGGAAAATATTTGCCAGGAACATGGTTTATGTTGTTTGTTCAAATATTGAAAGAAATAACGAAATATAAGCAAAAACATCTTAAACGGTTGGCGCGGCCATTACCGTAATCACGCGGCCATGTTATCACCAACATTTATATAAGTTAGCATTATATGTTTGCTCATAACGTTTCCCCCTCGCAATTTGATTTCTGCGCCATATTTTTGTACAATACCATAGATGTTCATACATTCTTTAAGAGATATTTCAACAAAGTCAACATTTCAACATTTCAGGAACGAATCCTTGTGGAACAGAAAATGGCGGCTGTAGTCATCTTTGCCTTCAGAAGCCCGGTGGAAATAATTTCACTTGCGCATGCCCAGACAAGTTTGAGCTAGATGATGATATGCACACATGCAGACCTAACTGTTCTATTACTCAGGTTAGATGCGGAAAGACCGACGACAGGTAATATATTTTGAGTGAGTGAGTGAGTGAGTGAGTAAATGAATGAATAAGTGCGTTGGTGCGTGCGTGCGTGCGTGCGTGCATGCGTGAGCGAGCGAGTGCGCGGAGCGGACGACACAACCTGACCGGAGCAGAGCGACCCGACCCGACCACCTGACCTGACCTGACCTTATCTGATTTTATCTGATCTTCCATCATTTATTTTGATATCAAGTTATAAATTTATATAAGGAATATATTTTGTAAGGATTCTTCTAAATTTATTAGCTTTTAGTTTTATTTAATTAAATTTGGCCTTACAACAATTTTTGACATTTGAAATGATCAACATAGGGAATAATATCCCTTGTCTGTCAAGAAATTCAATTTAATTGGTTTAGAATATATATTTTTTCAGTTAATAACCATAGTGCTAACAGCTTATTACTGACATTTATGAGCCACAAAAAGTGAATTATGCTTTGATATGAACAGCAGCCGATAAATACAGTCATCTTTTTTCTATAATATTGAGATGTTATTGAAAAAAATAGAAACACATAAAATATTAAATAACTTCATGACATTTAATATTTTTGAGGTGAATGCTTTAAACAAGGAGTAATTTTTGTCCTATGGTTATTGAAATGAAAAATACAATCCATTGAATTTGCAAGAACACTGGGGCTAACGGAATGTAAACTCTCGTCAGCTACTCCCGGAAAGAAATCTGGCCTGTCGTCTGCGACATTGTTTTTTTTTTTTTAAACATGGCCGTCTCAGCGGAGAACGTGCAAATTAAAAGGCCGGGTGCTTAAACAGTGACACGATCAGAATGAAAATAATTAAAAATATGAAAAGATATTTTATCTCATTTAGTAACCATGGCACAAAAAAATCCTTTAGTCGCAAAAAAATATTGTTACATTAAATGTACTAATGTTATTGAATAAACAGCGTTTTATAGCTTTCTTTTGCATAATGTCTTCAGTGTACTTTATTATACCCCCACAAACGAAGTTTAGGGGGGGTATATAGGAGTCAGCTTGTCGGTCGGTCGGTCGGTCGGTCCGTTCGTCGGTCGGTCCACATCATGGTTTCCGGACTATAACTAGAGTTTGGAATGAGGTATTGTAATCCAACTTGGTATATAGCAACCTTATGTGGAAACTCTGGTTGGTATTGCATTTGGACCCCCTGGGGTCAAGGTAAAGGTCACTGTTAATAAAAATAGAAAAATGGTTTCCGGACAATAACTAGAGTTAGGAATGAGATATTGTTATCAAACTTGGCGTATAGCAAGCTTATATCAAGACCTGAGTTGGTATTGCATTTGGGCCCCCTGGGGTCAAGGTCAAGGTCACTGTTACTAAAAATAGAAAAAATGGTTTCCGGAAAATAACTTAACTTAGGAATGAGATACTGTAATCAAACTTGGTGTATAGCAAGCTTATATGAAGACCTTGGTTGGTATTGCATTTGGGCCCCCCTGGGGTCAAGGTCAAGGTCACCGTTACTGAAAAATAGAAAAATGGTTTCCAGACAATAACTTGACTTAGGAATGAGATACTGTAATCAAACTTGGTGTATAGCAAGCTTATATGAAGACCTTGGTTGGTATTGCATTTGGGCCCCCCTTGGGTCAAGGTCAAGGTCACCGTTACTGAAAAATAGAAAAATGGTTTCCAGACAATAACTTGACTTAGGAATGAGATACTGTAATCAAACTTGGTGTATAGCAAGCTAATATGAAGACCTGGGTTGGTATTGCATTTGGACCCCCTGGTCACTGTTACTAAAAATAGAAAAAATGGTTTCCGGAAAATAACTTGACTTAGGAATGAGATACTGTAATCAAACTTGGTGTATAGCAAGCTTATATGAAGACCTGGGTTGGTGTTGCATTTGGGCCCCCTGGGGTCAAGGTCAAGGTCACCGTTACTAAAAATAGAAAAATGATTTCCGGACAATAACTAGAGTTAGGAATGAGATATTGTTATCAAACTTGGCGTATAGCAAGCTTATATGAAGACCTGGGTTGGTATTGCATTTGGGCCCCCTGGGGTCAAGGTCACCGTTACTAAAAATAGAAAAAATGGTTTCCAGACAATAAATTGACTTAGGAATGAGATACTGTAATCAAACTTGGTGTATAGCAAGCATATATGAAGACCTGGGTTGGAATTGCATTTGGACCCCCTGGGGTCAAGGTCAAGGTCACCTTTAAGAAAAATAGAAAAATGGTTTCCGGACAATAACTAGAGTTAGGAGTGAGATATTATTATCAAACTTGGTGTATTATAAGCAAGCTTATATGAAGACCTGGGTTGGTATTGCATTTGGGCCCCCTTGGGTCAAGGTCACTGTTAAGAAAAATAGAAAATTGGTTTTCAGACAATAACTAGAGTTTGGAATGAGATATTGTAATCTAATTTGGTGTATAGGAAGCTTATATGAAGACCTGGGTTGGTATTGCATTTGGACCCCCTAGGGTCAAGGTCACCGTTACAGTGTTACTAAAAATAGAAAAATGGTTTCCGGACAATAACTAGAGTTAGGAATGAGATATTGTAATCAAACTTGGTGTATAGCAAGCTTATTTCGAGACCCCAGTTGCGATTACAATTAATTGAAATATTTCTTTGTACACAGTTGATAGTTTGTGTTCAAATTTTTCTTCAGACTACTTTTTTTTCAAAAAGTTCAAGTTGCTGGTGGGGGTATTAATCACCTTCAGTGATAGGTCTACTTGCCCTTACTGTACTTTAAAGTACTGTATGAGAATATTTACCATAAAATGTTCGTGATTTAATAAGAGTTCCATGAGAAAAAAATTCGTTCTTTTACACATTTGTGTTTTTATTGAATTACAGATGTATTCCGAGAATATGGCAGTGTGACGGGTCACGTGATTGCAAGGATGGTGCAGACGAACCGGATACATGCCGTAAGTTGAAGTGTCAAATTGTCGTCTTTAATCTTTACATTGCAGTATTAAAATGTTCAAAGGGCTTGAATTTTTTTTTTGTTATATGCTTTACCTTGTTCTAGTAAAAATATAACAATCGGAGGAAGACAAGATTCCAAAGCTACATGAAGAATTGTCACTAAAATGAAGTAATAAATGAATAATTGAAGTTAAAAAATGTAACGCTGCATATTATCATTACAAAGATGTAAACTTTTACCTTTAGCTGCTACAACATGCTCTCCCGGACAGTTCCGTTGCCGGAATAACAAATGCGTGTACGGGTTCCAAACCTGTGACCTGATAGACCAGTGTGGAGATGGGTCTGACGAAGAGGGATGCGAGGACCATGAGTGTGAACCGTGGCAGTTCCGGTGTGAGAATCACAAATGTATTCCTAAAGGTATGTTTTCGAGTAAACAATCTAAACAATCAACAAGTCTAACAAGTCAGTTTGAGAAATGGTTCATCATAGCAACGATTATTCAAAAAGTAGGTCAATAAAGTACAACAAAAAAAGATCTGTCAATATTTTGCATAAATCTGTGCACGCAGGTACATTTATAAATAAAAGGAGGAGAAAAATGCATTAATGGACGGATAATACCACGCAAGCATGCGCCGTTATAATCTCTTGCGCATCGGTCGAATGTTTCAATACCGTATACAATTGAAGAAGGGAGTAGTGTATAATAGGGAGCGTTGCGCCGTTATTGCTCGTTTTATATTTTATGCATTACTCATGGCGCAATGAAAGAAATACTTAAAATAGCTTTCTACAATTACTGCCCTGGTATTTTCATTATCAAAACAAAACTGGCAAATGACATCGTTCTAGCAGGTGAAACGAATGATGAGTAGTCTGAGTGGGCTCTACGCTGTATCCAAGGAAAATACTTACTCGACAGGTCTGAAGATTTGCTTTGTTGATTTATGCATGTCACAAAACGTGATGTTATTAGGGACCGTTCAAATTTTACGTAAGACAGACGGAGCCCACGTTAAACCTGGTCTTGATTGTGTAGGTATTGATGGTTGGATGTTAGTGGTGTTGCGTACCCTATCACATTTCGGTCCTAACCTTCACATATAACGGTTTTAGAAGTTTAAAACATTAAAAAAGTTGATGTAAATGGTTTTGGCTATACAATTCGTGTTGTTGTTGGTGGTAAGAAAATTTATTTTCAATTTCACTAGTCGTTAAAGTCCGAACTGCTTTCAATTTTAAATAAGATAGCAGAATAATTAGAATTATCAATTTAAAGCTTTAAAACGAAAACCAATTATGTGTATTTTTTCGCTTCACCATGTTCACTAGATGCAGTTATGTAAAATGATGTAAAATATTTAGATATAATTAATTTGGCACTTATAGGTAAATGTTTGCGTTGAATATTTTATAACCAATTGATACGGATATTATTTTAGCACCATCAAACAGAACTTAAACACTGTTTCCATGCGAAAAATCAATCGTGTAAATTGAAATTGATTTCATTCTGTTTTTACGGGTGTTTACTTTAACGTTAACTATTGTTAATTATAAATGCCTCATGAGAATGTTACAACGGGTATATTTAGAAGGAGAGTATGGCTGGCGCGTGGTGCCATAAAATCGTACAAATATTAAAAACAAGAGGGCCATTGTCACAAATTACGCTGTCATAAATGCCTTATCTTATAATGACGAATACTTACATTAAACCCATCTCATTCAAAATAAATATATGCGCAATATTCACATTTTCATTTTTTTATCTGACATTTGACCTTTGCATTGACATTGACACCTTGTTCACATAGATCTGAAGTTAGCCCATAACACTTAACCTTGTAATGTTAAACTTTGTCAAGTAATTTTCATATTCCTCCATGCACGTAGGAAACACACTGCAGACAAACTCTGGACATCTCATCATTTCTGGCGACCTTGACCTTTGCATATATTGACCTGATTTATACAGTACCCATATATAATTTTGGAGAAGAAAAACGGTTCCGAAACTTTTTTATTGATATGATTTATATTTCGTTAACATGAAAAAAACGTAGCTTTTCTTTTGTGGTATATGCATGCATTGTCCGATTGAATTCAATATTTACAGTTATTTACAGATATAATATCTATATCATAATGTGATAAAAAGAAACATGTTTCCTTCCCTTAAGATCGATATAACATTTTGCCATATGAAGATCTTGTGTTCATTTTCGCGGCAATAAGTCGAGTGCCAGGGTTTTGCGAACCTATTTGGGTCCTTATAAGACCGACTTACGTCAGGAAATATACGGTTCATAGATTATAACGATTGAATCGAGTTGTTACAGAGTTAAGCTAAGCTTTAAAATGTTTGAACCTATATCATAAATATTGGGATACTGTACATCATGCTTTTTTCTTTATCTCGTATTCATCATGCACTTATATTAAAGAACAATATAATATTATAAAGTTGCCTCTTAAAATGCCTTTTATGCCATATCACATGATTATACATCCATACTTTTATGAAATTGATATGTATGCATTTTGCCATGTGCACTTAAAATAACTGCTTTGTCATTACAGACTTAGCATTTCCATAAAATGCAATGGTATTCTAAAATCAATATTTCAGGCTGGAAATGTGACGAGGTTGATGATTGCGGAGACAATAGCGACGAATCTGTGAACATATGCCGTAAGTAATTAAATACTGCACAGATTGCATGCGATATCAAATCAGTATATGTCATAATTATTTGATGTGGGAGGGATAAAGGTAGCAAGGCAGAGTGAATTAGTGAAGATAATGCAATGTTTTAATGAGACGAGATTGAACTTCTCTGCCATCAATGACAAGAAAACGAATGTAACAAAAATGCATGTTTTGCTAGAAAAGAAAAGAAAAGAAACATTGCCAATAAACAATTAGCCTGCTTGCGGCAACTGATCCTGTCCTTTCTACCAGTGTAGAGCAAGACCTGGGGAGCGTTTCACTAACGTACTTACATTATCGTAACTCGAGTTTGAACGTAACTTTTACGTAAGCAGAACTTGCGTATTTATTTACGTTTCACTAAGCTTTCTTAGCTCCCCATTTGGTAGGTTTCAACGATAAGTTACGCTCCATTATTGCTGGCGTAAATTGTACATTCTGTTTATTGGAAAACAACTAAAGTAAATAACATTTTGCGTAAGGTCAAATTTACGTAAAAGGATCCGCTTAACTTACGGAATAATAGTGAAACGCTCACCAGATGTCTGATCATAGTCTGCACTGTTTGCTGTTTAGTCAATATATAATCTGAAATTTTCCCCAAAAAATATCAATGGTTAAGACCATTTATGACATTTTAATTTAGCATTGTGAGGATTTAAACAGCATTCATTTGCTGTTATACGAAAAAGGCTTAAACATGCTTTTGCTAATATACAAAACCTACCAATATTTTGTCAGAGAAGATACCTATGAATCTACATTTATATATATGAATTTAATCAAATGTGTATAATTTTTGTCCTTGTAGACAAGAGGAAATGTGAAGATAATAAATTTATGTGTGACAATGGCAGATGTATTCAGTTATCCTGGCAGTGTGACTTTGATGACGATTGTGGTGATAATAGTGACGAAAAACCGGAATTCAGCTGCAGTAAGTAAATATTTGATTGTCATTAGTATTATTATTTTGCCATCGGCATTGTCTTTGGTATTGTTGTAGTCATTGGCATTGTCACACGTATCCAAATCAATATCATGTCGTTGTCATTACCATTGATATTGTTATCATCATTGTACAAATAAATGTCATTGTTATTGCCATTGTTTTTATCAATGTCCCAATGATTGCCACTGTCATCGCCAGCTTTTCAAATATTTTTATTGCTTTTGTACTTATCAGTCTCTTAGTTAATGCCACTGTAATAGCCATCATATGGAATATTGTTATTTCCAATGAAATTAACATTGTCCTTATTATTTTTTGCCATTGTCGTCACCTTATTTTAAAATGTCAGTTCCATCGCCATCTTTTAAAATATTGATTTTACCACTGTACCAATAATTATCCCTGTTATTGTCAGTGTCATCGTGTTAGTAAATGCTACAGTGTGGTTATGTTAGGAAAAAGGGGCGTCTGTGGCCGAGTGGTTAAGGTCGTTGACTTCAAACCACTTGCCCCTCACCGCTGTAGGTTCGAATCCCGACAGGGACTTTGGATTCTTTCATGTGAGGAAGCTATTCAGCTAGCTTACGGAACGTCGGTGGTTCTACTCAGGTGCCCGTTCGTGCCTGAAATAATGCACGGAAGGGCACCTGAGGTCTTCCTCCACCAGTAAAAGCTGGAACGTCGCGATATGACCTATACTGTGTCGATGTGACGTAAAACCAAAAAAAATATGTTAGAAAAAGGCAAGCAAAAGTATCACTAATACCCGTCTAATTTTAAATGATGTTAAAATGACAGATAAAGCTGATGATTACAATATTAATGATATAGTTGTTGCATGATCACGGTAATTTGCACTTTTATTATCACGACATCAATAAAGAAGTACTTAAATCAAATCAACGTCAGGTTCAGTGAGAGTAGATTTATGTCTAACGCTATGGATTCAAGGTTCTTTTCTTTTCTGATATATTTTATATGTTTTTATGCAGTTAAGAATATTCCATAATGTTGCAATAGAAAAAAGTAGGAATGCATGGTAAAAGTCAAAAGAAATAAAATTCCTCTTATCCAGCGTGAGCATAGACTTTCTTACATACGTAAGCTGTATAATAAAGTGCCATAATTACGTTTAAATCGATTTCCTTTCTTCACTTAGCATAAAATATCACATATAAATTTTATTAAAAAAGACGTGGTTTTATATTGCTTGCAAGTTAATTTTGAAATTTTTGACTGAACAGACACTAATACTGTCGCTGTTAAACATGTCTTTTAAATCCGCTCACCAAACCAAGGCTTGTAATTAAACGTTCCTGGCCTAACACAATAAGGAGAGCATCGAATTTGTAATCATTTTATCGTATTAACACAATATAAAATATATTGTGTTTCTTCTGTATTTACTTTATCAATTAAACGTAGATTGACAAGTTAAGCATAACTATCCATTTCCAAATCATGATTAATCATGATATGTCACTTCTTTTTGCAATACGAGTATGCTTGTCCTTAACGAATGATCAAACAAATTGGAAAAATGAATCTTTGTCAAATTTAAGCGTGTAATGACAGCTATAAAGGCGACAATTTAATGATAGCAACAAGTTATGTAATGGTGCGCTAATGATGCATCAATGTTTTGACTTAAAATGTCAATGAATATGTGCGCTTGTCATTTCCTCATTACAACATTTCATGCCGGTTACGCTACGCTTTGCCACTTTAATGGCGACCATTATATAACTTTTGTTATTAAACGGATCATTCTCTATAACGTTATTTTTTTAACTTTCAATGTACATTAAACACAATAATTATTTAAATGAAAGAAACAGACACTGAAGAAATGACTCTGTGACGGCTCTGTGCTGATTTCGGGAAGTAACCGCTGCTAGGAGTTTGATTAAAAGTCCCAATTGCAGAAAATAGACCCAACGGCATAAATATATCCAAGATTATAATGTCGTTTTTTTAAGTCTGAAAAAAAAAACAAACAGAAAACGTAAGTCATGGTTATAATAATGAGGATGACAAGCAGTTTTTTATTGGTGTTAACAAATACTGTAAACAAATCATTACCATTATCATAACGATGGTTGTTATGTGACTGTAATTGTTGTTTTGATTTGCTGTTGTTATCATTATTGTTAAACGTATTATCACTATTATTATTGTATTTATCATCGGTGTAATTAGTTTATTACTAAAATAGTACAAATTAACTCATTTGAGAAAATAACTATTATTTATCCTTTTCTCTGTTTCTTTTTATTTAGGATGGGGGGGGGCATTTATTTATATATTTTCTTTTGTTTGTTTGATTTTTGTGTGCAAAATTACAAAACCGATGATCTCCCTATTGAGCCAATATAAAAGTGACAAACGTCAACAGGTGTTGCTTAGAACTCATATTGACGTAAAAGACAAATTATCGCTTACAATCACGAAACAAAATCACAACTACATAATCATATCGCAATGACGATCACTATCCTAAATAAAGACAATTTATTTACATTATGGATTTGCAAAATCTGGACAGTCACATCACTATCATTATCGGGTAAACACAACTCACAACAGTATTCAAGTTAAAACCTGACAACCAAAGAATATTTGTGACATCGTTTGAAGGATGAACAAAAATCTAAATACAATGTAATACAGCGCAACTTTAATTAATTTTCTCGGACAAGTATCGCAATAAAAATAGTCTCTTATCGACATCAAAACAATAGCCCTCATAAATAAACCTACGCCCGAAGACACCTGTTACAAATGAGCTGCATCATGACAAAACCAACATAGTGCGTGTGCCAACTGACCCTATGACAAGTAGACAAACTAATGGCGAACAGCATGGATCCTGATCTGGATCCATGCTTCTCGCAAACGCTGTGTTGGTTTTGACATGGTGCAGCTCATATACATGTATAGTCCAGTATGTACATAGATTCTATGATCAGGTAAAAGAGATAACGTGGAAAACTTTTAAAGCTTACAACACTGAAGGTTATCGTCGATTTTTTTCCCAGTATCTATGGGGTTATTTGTTTTAATGGTATTTTTTGTTGTTGTTTATTGTTTTTTTTTTCACTTTTAGTTTTAAAGAACTTTACCTTCCTTACCTTTAAACTAGTATTGAAAGTAAAAGTAAAAGTCTCTTGAATCCTCTGTATAACAATTTTCAAGATTTACAATTTGAAACCGTATATGACATTATGATATCTGCCATATGATATTTGCTACTCTGTCTACGCCTCAATTCGATTTACGAGGGGCGTTTAAAAAGTAAGGGCATCAGTCTATCATTTATAATAATAACATATTTTTATTTAAAGAAGGTAACAGATGAAGATATACCACCGTGTTATACAAATAACATATCTTAATTTAAAATTTGGCCTTCTTAACAATATATAAAGACATACACACACAAAACAATATCATCAAACAATAATTACTATTCCATTGTGTCAATTAGGATTTGACCCTACACATAACATAATATGATAAGTTTTAACAAATGAGTCCACAAGAACGACGTATCGGTCGAAGTAATAATGAATATCTTTTAACCGTGAAGTGCCATTATAGTAAATTTCTATTAAAATGCTTAAGAAGCATTTTTCACTGGATATAAAGGAACAGAAATTCCTGCAATTTCTGCAAAGAACATTCGATCCGAAGTTTTTAATACAAAGTCGTATTATTTCGCAATTAATATCTCTCTTGCAGGAGAATACCAGCAATGAATTAAACACCTTTTAATATTTTTAAAACACAGGTGCTGTTAAAGTAGAAATCGCTAAAGATGAAAAAAGAACAGAAAAACAGCGTACATGAATTATTGGGTCTTAATATGGCAGTTGTTTTACGGACATTTTGTATTCTTAAGCTTATTTGCAATAACGTTGGATCGACCACAATTACAAAACTACTTGCATACAACGGAGAGGTAAATTTCACAATACGTATAAAAACAATACCTTTACATTGCTTCAAAAATGCTGTCTTCTCTGGGAACTTTTTGCCGAGTTTCACTTTAACATAATTTATGTCAAAGTCGTTTATTCAAAAGTGAGCAAGGTATGGATGGGTTAATTATTTTTTACACCACTTTCCGCTTAATAGGGATAGCACAGAAAGTCGCTAGTTCGATCGTCGCGCAAGGCATAATTTTACCGGGGAAATTGATGTCGGACATTGATTATAATGGTCATTCTTTCTCACCACTGATTCAAAATTCATACAGAATTAGTGGTCGCCTTAATGCGGAAAAAAATGTTTAGTACTGGTAAGTCTTCTTGCAAAGTTGGGTGGAACGACCGCCGAGATATATAGAATCGCCTTAAAAAGAAAAATAATATATGAGACATTTGTAATATTTTGTTTGATAATTGAGTATCATACTGGTGTATTGTCACATTTGGTTAAAATGTAATTTTATTACAAATGATATATGAGATATGAAATAGTTTTTTAAGCCAACATTCTTTCAGTTTCATATTTATAATATTTAGCAAAACAAATATGTCTTTTTTTAGAAGTAGTTATCATAACATTAATTTGAGATATGTTTTTGTGTGTAATTTATAGTATTTATATATTCAAATAAAACAGATGTACGTTTCAACTAGTATCCCTTCAATAAGATGATATTTGATATATTTGTGATCTTACATTGAAAAACTACTTTTTGTAATGATAATGTATATAAAAAAGATCGAAATATGATGATAGATATATTATATTATAAAACAGAGTACTTTTATTCTTTAAAAAGAAATTAAGAAAAAAGCATATTTTTATAAGTTGCTAAATTATGGGCGGATGAATAGAGGGTAGAGGATATTTGTTTCCTTGCGTGAAATTTTCCAAGGTGAACACCAGATGTTCAGCATAACAACAGCTGGTGGTGACTCGAGTTGAATATGATTTAACGTTATGTGCACTATTCTCATTTTGGCTGCAGCCGCGTA